GCGAACTGGTTAAAGCGGTTCGTTGCTGATCTCTCTCTCTCTCTCGCTCTCTCTCTTGTGTCATGTATGCGCGGTGGAAACAATAACGCTCTAATTGGGCCAATAATAAAATAATTGTTAGCGCTTGGGAGTCGTCTGGCTTGGCCTGGCCGTGCATTCCGTACTGTATTTGTCTGTGGAGAAAAGCCTGCAAAAGAATTGCGACGCACTGTCACGCCCCCAGTGCCTTTCGAGTGATTCTGTCAAATTGACGAAATTCATACAACAGTATACCATCGCCCAGAATGCCCTACCGTTTCGACGCGATATTAAACTTCGTCACGAATTACGTCACGCGTCGAATTATTCTCCGAGAAAAATGTCAAAGCGTCCGGTCGATTAAGCGAAATAACTCAGTCAGAAATGTGAGTCTGGGAAAGATATAAAATTTCATAAAATTTCAAAGCGATATAATCAAGCTAGAATTTTCATGAAAAAAATTTTTTTTTAATAAAAATAAAAATTCCTTCGTAATTCCCTTCAGTACCGACGTCAGATAACACGCGACTAACTTCGGACAAGTAGACCGGTCGGAAATTCAAAATTGTCTCGGAACATTTGAATTCGACCGTTACGCTTCTTTCGAGGCGTCTGTCGCGCCGAGAAAAGTCACACGGCTGAGGGTCTGGAAGACACCAGTTATCTGTACGAGAGAGAGAGAATGACTGCATAAGAAAGAAGGAAAAGATACTGAGAAGTCGTGTCGTTTGACCGTCGGGTCGGTTCTTTTAATTTCTTATTAATTTTCGCCGGTCTTCGGCGTACCGTGCGTTTCTAACGAGTTACGCAATCCACGCACAGCTCCCCCTTCTGTCTCGCGCGCCTTTTTAATCGGAGTAACGAGTTGTTTTTGTCGGGGAAAATTCGTGGCGCGTCCTTATCTTAACCGTTAATAACACGGAGCTCTTTTATACACGTGCCAGAAGAGGACGAGCCGTCGGCCTAATTCTGTGGGAAAGATCGTTCCACCAAAGACCTGCAAGTCAATTGACGATTACGCTGCTCGATACGTCATGCCTCTAGGAGAACAGCTACCATTAACCGACACGCACTGCCATAATACTTCATAGCAAACGTTGATGTCTTAATAAGAATGAATTCTGCTGAACGTTTTCAATACGATGCTCTGCTTTGCTTCTTGTTTATTTTTTGTTCCGTATACAGTGTCGTGTACTCTCTATAGTCACCATTGTTTTCGTATCCTTCCTTCGAGCAATGAACACAATATACTAGATAGATATGCGTATAACGTATGTATATCTAGCATTGAAATGCCCCTGGTGAGTCAGGCGATATTAGATAATGAAAATAACAATGGTAGAAAATTTCTAATTACTTGCATTTAATAACTTTCTTCGTCGGTCGAAAAAAAAATCATTAAGAATTTGAAAATTAATTTTTTATGTAAAAAAAAAAAAATGTTTAATATCATAAAATTGTGCACTACCCGTATTATGAATTTTAGTGATTAGAATTTTTTAAAATATATCATGGGCAGCATCCATTTTAATTATTATCCCAGAGAAGTATGTTGGGAGCGTAAAGATTTTCGGGGTCTCTCCTTGCACGATGCAAAGTGCCGTTTCCCGCCGATCGGTGTCAAGTGGTGTTCGCTTCTTTTTTGCAGAAGGAGCAAATCAAGGTTGTCAATCTGCATAACAATCGATACGTAGGCATTTAGCGTGTAAAACGTGTCCTGAAGTTTTTTTTTTATAGCGAACCAAAATAAAACCACGTCCAACGTCATCACGGCCAAGTCTTTGAAAATTGGAAACAGGCTAGGCACATTCCATGATAAAAGTTACGAACGTTTGTTGTACGGTCAACGAAATGAAAAATTTCGGCAAAGAGAACATTTAAATGATGTTGGCCAAGGAGAATTGCATTTCTGAGAATGCTAAGCGCGTCTGAACGTGTCTCGTGTACGAGGGTGGCTCGACGTAATATTTTGAATTTAGGAAAAATTTTCTAACCGTACGGGAGACACGTAGCATATTCAAGCGATACTCTGGCTTTAGTATTAAAGTCTATTAACTGGTACGATATTCTTTGCATAACATGACTGTTTTGTGAGGGTGTTAGGTGCTAGCATAACTCCCTGTTGATAAACATAGATCTCACTGGCAGAATGCCATGCAGACGGAATTTATATACATACATAACGGCAAGTAATGATATATATATATATATATAGCGACGTAAAAGGAACAAGACAAACTACTCTTAGACTTACCAGTGAACGGTGTTTAAACATTTTTTTAATCACGGTCATACTTGATAGTCGAGAACTTTCGATTTGACTTTTTAACGTGACAAAATAACGCCATCCGTCAACGTCAGCCGCTCCCGGTATCGTCGTAACATTTGAGAAGCCTCACCTTGTAAAATCTTCAATAATCGTAAGAGACTCGTGTTTCTTAATATTCTATATACCATACGATACGGAGACTACCTATATTCACCTTGGATACCATTAGAAGGTTATATTTAGGAAAAGTAGTCTTGAACGTAAGGAGAGGTTGTAAAATAGTTTTTCAAAATAGACGGAGTGCAAATAAAAATGAGGAAAAAAATAATTGATTATATTTTCTATTAAAAGTAGGTAAATGAAAAATATTCACTCTGGTATCTTTTAATTTTCTTTGTCCGAGGGCGCCACGTGCCTTGCTCGTCCCTGACAATTCAGCTTCTGCATTAGCTCACGTATGTCTCAGCCACGTATAAACGTGGTTACCTATATAAATACATGCACACGTAGAAATGGGGTGGGTCAGGAAGTACGAAGGGTTAGAGGAGACGATTATCGACCCTCAGCAAGGCTTATAGTTGCAATGCAGCTGGTATAGGGTGGGTTTCGCTTCAAGCTAGTCTCCCACCCTGGGGTGGAACGCAGAAGGTTCGAGGCGTAGGAGAACGTGCGTGGAGTTTCGAATGCGAACACGAAGAGTCGACGTTGCCCGGATACTATCCAAACTTGTGAATAAATATGCTGGTCGTCGAGAAGAGTAGAAGCTGATCGATAAAAATTATAACGGCTGTTTATATACCTATATACGTTTCGTACGGTACGATATCAATTTTCATTATGGGAGCTGTCAATTTTATATGTATTATCATATATAATCGCTAGGGGCTCCACTCGTTCTATGAGTTAATCCGCTGTTTACTTGCTCTCTTTTTCTCGTTGCTTTTTATTTTTCTATTTCTCTCTCTCTCTCTCTCTCTTGAAGGCAACGGCACGCACTTAGTACGGATGACTCGTGATATTTCCGTTATTAATTATTTATGACGCCTCGACTGACAACAGCGGAGGTTATTGGCCAAGAGAAGAACCTCCATGCGAAGTGGCAAATTCGGTTAAAATTTGACACTACTGCATTCTCGTACACTCTGTGAGTCAATAACGTAGGAATTTACCCTGAACAAGGGTTGACATGAGGTTCACTAAATGCAAAACAGTTGTATACAGTTGATTATATAAAGAAGCCTATAAGTACTGTTTGGATTCCTTGAGCGAACAGAAGGAATTGGTAGCACAGTTTCGTTTGCGTGGAAGTGAAAATGCAATTGTCGATAATGTAGTCGTGCTTGTCTCATTGTTACCGACGGAATCTCAGATGGTCAAAGGATCGAAGACGAGAATAATCTCGGAAACAGTGAAAAAGAAACAAAGTGGAAAGCAAAAAAAAGATGAAAGAGATACGTATGCACGTGAAGAAAGAAGTCTGGAGTTCTGACTCTGTGTCGCAATCGGTCTCTGCTATTTTTACGTTAGAGTGTCGATTTGAATGACAGAAACACGAACGTGGATATGGCAACGCCAGAAAGAAGAAAGATTTCAGAAGAACCGACCAACCTTACGATATTTTATGAGTCTAGACGTTTGAAATTTAAAGCTAATACTATCTGCAACATCGAGCATTATCACCCAACTAGTCGCGTAATATTTCCTTTGTTCAGACGAAATTAGCTAACCACATATATCTGAAAATGCTAAAGCGAGATTCTTTGTTGAAAAAAGAGAAAGAAAAAAATGCATGCAATTATATGCATACCTACTTTTTAAAAACAGTTCTCTGTATTATTCCCGGGACAACTTTGCCGATAATTACGTCTGTCGCCAATGGTACACCTACACGTCGCCTTGAATATACAATTCGTTCACTTGGTTTCCCGCTAAGCTCTAACCGTGGCTATGCTCGCCAACGCCATAATTCCTCACGGCTAATTACATCTCATCAAATGGAAAATCAATAAAATCGAACACTCACCATACTCATGAACAAGCGATTGTAAGGGCTGCAACGGAGCCGCGTTCTCAGCCGGCGTCACCGTGAAACGTTCCGGCATTTTATTTTCCTCGGGGTTTCTCCTCTTCTCTCTGTCTGTCTTCTTTCTTTATTCAATCCTTACTCTGCTCCTCTCTCAATTGTTATCTCTGCTACTGTCTAATTCTCCACAGTTCCACTGTTAAACAAATTGAAAATCTCCCGCACTTTTTCCTTCGACGATTGGCAAACGCGGTCTCCATTCGCTGCCACTGACTAGTTGGCGCTGACGATTGTTCAACGCTAGTAAACTTAAAGTCCTATGAACAATATGTACTGACACACGAGGTCTAACAGTAGCCTTCGGTAATGCAAAGTGAAACTGTAGTAGCTTCGCACCAGTTGGCTGTGCTGTACGCGCTGCCGACACGCGACGCACTCATGGCTTCAGACTGATTATACGTATCTATATATACATGCGTGAACGCGTATGCACAACGTTCCCTTTGTTTATATATATATATAGATGTCTGACTACGTATATGCACACCCGGCTAGGGTGCCCGCACGTGTGTGGACCAATGTTACAGGACTAACATACCTATATATCCTTGCCATATGTAATCGCGGACCGACGCTGTTTACTGCTGCTCTTCAAGGATAGGTGGCAGCAGAGAATGGAGCTTTCCGGGAAGGAAAGCTCAATCGGATGGGTAGGCTGGCATTCGCGGACTTCTTTCATCTGTATGGATGGTCGAGAAGTATGCTGAAAGTAAATCTTCAAGTTAGAAAGAACATCCATCACGGTACATTAATATTCCTTTACGTATTTTTATGACAAATTCCTTATCATTCGGCTACATATGGAGAGCGATTGTTGTGAAAATTTGAATGGGTTTTTCCATATTTTTTTTTATAGTTATCTTGCTCCTGGGGATAATTTGGACTGTTCCTGCAGGACTATGGTTTAATGGGATGGTGCATTGCGTTACGGTATGCCGAATTGTCGTGGAACGAAGTATACGATATAGGCTGTTAATTCTTGTTGATACTGCAAATATTTTTGAGTGCATTTAATATATGTATAGCACGAAGGATCAATCCTGGATTCTGTGATACGTGATCATGTGACTTGACTCTGAACTTGTGTCTTGATTTAATTCCGTTACGTTCTGCTGTGTTTATGGAGTACATGAGAATCTACGAACTGAGAGATATGCAATTTATTCGGTGACCTGATATTTATCTTGGTATTCGGTAGGAGCATGATGATGATGCTTAATTTGGAAGCTTCTCTCGACTAGACAATTTACGGGAGTATTTAGCTTTGATTTTGCTTTAACAGCTGATCGACACTTCTAGTAAACTGCAGTTCGATTGTCTGAGGTAAGATATTGTTAAATTTAAGTACGAAAATATTTCAATGTTTTTATAATATCCAGAATGGTCTGGTATTCGTTGGCTGTACGTTATATTCTTTCATTATTTCCCAGCATGATTCCTATAAGGGCTATGGATACTGCTTGTAGGTTAGGTATTGATTCACTCCTAAATCTCAGGCGTACGAATATTGCACGAACATAATTCGTCTTTTCGCAGTAATTCAACTGTTTGAAACGTAAATGGATAATCTTTAATCCTTATCCCTTGATACTGAGACCGGCACATCTGGACCATTTTAGCAACTTTAAGCCGGTAAAAATTTTATTTCGAATCCGATTTACATTGCCAATTAATTTAAATGAACAAAGAAGCGAGGAAATTCAAGATCTGCTACCAAGTGGAATTAAGTTTGTACATCATCTTTCAATAATGCTTTGCCGAATATAAAACTGTTATTAAAATATATATGATTGCTACTTAATACGGTATACTTATTTAGATGACACGTGTCTACTTTCATTTAAATCTGGTTAAGTGATTTTGATGAATTTGAATGATTCCATATGCAATTCGTTCGAGTTATACTTAAAGTTTCAATAATTGTATACGAGGTATCGTAAACCGATGCCTGATTGCACAAAGTATTGCCGAGTTTGAGATAAGTGCGGTTTAAAATTACCCGGCGCCGTAATAGAACAATCAATTACGGATCAGGTACAATGGAAAGTGTGACGCTACAAGGGAAATCCAGCGTCTCTGTTGGTAGCACTGTTGTTACGATGGTAATGGCCGCCCTACCAATCTATGAAACGTACAGTACAGTGCGGTACATTTGTAAGCAGCGTCGAGACGAAAGTGTCTCTTGTTTTCTTACTATTTCGTTGTGAAAATTCGTCAAGCTGTGGCCCCAACCGCAAACCATGGGCTCCAAGAAGCACAAAAAGCACAAACGCGAAAGACATGAAGGTGAGAGCCGATAAAGGATATCTTTTGGAATCCTGGTTCGTTTACTCTGTCTACTGTTTGGCACAACTTATTGTCGGCGATCGCCGGCGTTTTCTTCTACCAAACTTAATACGATTGGCACAGTTTCATTAAAAACCTTTCAGAGAGTTCAACACGTTCATTGAACAGGAATATTCAATAATTATTCACTATGCTTGATGCTCAAAGTATGTGTTGATATTTTGAAAAATTATCTACACATATGATTATCTTGTAAACAAATTTGGATGTATAAGTGACTGAAGCGAGAAATCTGAACATACTTAGTTATTTTAAAACAAAGCTTTTGTCAATGCATTTGCCCAAAGTTGCTTATGCGATAAGTAAATGATGATCAGTCATTTTTTTTTCAATAAGGTACTGTTATTGTTTGTACTCACGTTAGAGCTTTTTTTGGAGCATCAATTCATATTTTATAATGATTTTTGTCGGATAGATACATGAAATACGTGAAATAGACTATCTGGCAAAATTCTATATTTGTATGTTACTTACATGAGGATTCAAATAAAAATAAGAATCTAGTATGAGTCTTCTGTATTTCTCGCATTGCCAAAAACCATTGCTTTCTATGATGTGGCTCGCCGTATGCTGCCTCTGCATGGTTAATCTTTAATAGAATTTCACTATTTTTTTTATTGAATCCTCCTTGTACTTATAGTTTAATGATGCACAGGAATATTGACTACGTTTTCACCAAGGAGAAACTGAGAGTGAGGTGGATTCAAAAGTATAAACGAAGTTCCAAAGCAACCTATGACATGGAAGTAAGTGAGGAGTATCGCAGACTCGGACTTGTTGCACGACAGAAGCTAGCTATGCTTCCAAAAACAATTCAAATGCCCTAAGTCCCTTCAACAGTGTCATTTCACAAAATTTGTTGAAATGCCACATGAACGATACGATTTAGATATTTGTAACTTCATTGTTGCACCATACATGGTGCTTGTATTTGTAATACCTTAACAAAAATATATGAAACAGATGTATTATTCTTTGTTCTCTAAATTTGTATTACATGTTACATCAATGGATAAAAATGTTAACTATAATGAATCAGATGTTGATAATGATGTTGATAATGCCCAATGCATGAATATATTGTTCCTGGAGACTGTTTGTTGAATTTTCGTTCTACTTATGTTAGATGTATTTTTTTTTAAACGATGACTAAACTGAACTTGACATCATAATTTTTTTAAAAAGTTAGGGCTTTCCCTTATAAAAAGCTAGTATAATGCTTATACTACCTAGGATATCTTACTTTTCTAACAACAACCAATTGTTTGAGAACTTGACTTGAAAACAAAAAGCAAAACAATATTACACTTCACACACAACTTATTATCTGCCTTATTATAGTGGCATGATAGGCCACGTTTGCTTTGCTTAATTTTGTACCTCGCTACGAGGTATTTTCAATTTCAAGAGAAGCTTCTCTCTTACGACTCCAACGCCTTCCATATGATGGTCATGAAATTGAAAATGCTACGTGATTTGCGTTACGGTTTCCTCAGTTTACCTACATTCGTATACTTGAATCTCGCTTCCAGTTTTGCTGAACGTGAAAACAAAGTCACTCCATTATCAAAGTGCGAGTTTCCCTTATCGATCATTTTACCTTTGCTGAATACCTTGAATGCTGTACCCCCCCAGTATTATGTATGCTGTACATTATTTTCTACTCTATTGTATAAAAACCATGCATTACAAAGCTTTAGTAATCTGGCTTATTTAAATGTGCTTATTCCTGCATTTTGTATGATTTCCTATGAGAAATCTATGTAGCATGGAATTCATTTGCAACGCTGTAACTTCACCCGTTTGATGTCTTTAAAGTAAACCTGGACTAGTAACGTTCGTCAATGACACATAACTGTATATTTCGTTTCAGCAGAAGGACAATACTCGACAACAGACAAGCCACCAACATTGAAATTAATTTTAAAAGTAGGAGGCAGTAGTGGCACTCCTGAACACGGTAACGAGTCGCCCAGTCAGTCCACCATGTTGTCCCAACATTATCAACAACAATTGGGTCTTTATTCGGTCACCCAAGGAGAATCGGAGTACGACAGGTATATGGGCCACAAGAAACTGAAGAAGAAAAAGAAAAAGAAGGATAAGAGACACAAGCATCATCACAAGGATAAAAAGAGACGTAGAGAGGAATCCAGTCAAGAATCAGTTGGTGATGGGGATGAGAGTCTCATAGAGGCTCCTAAAAAGATAGCAAATCACCATCTTCTAGCTCCTAGACCACCTTCTAGCACTGAGCATAGAACAAGTCTATTAGCCAGTTCCAGTTCACTCTCGCCTCACCGTGAACCGCGAACCTGCGTCCTTAGAAAGATTGCCGAACGGACGCCTCTTCAACGGCTTCTGGAACATCTTCTCAGATCAATGGAGAAACGGGATCCCCAGCAATTCTTCGCTTGGCCCGTTACCGACAATATTGCTCCTGGATACTCCCAGATTATCACGAATCCCATGGATTTTAGCACTATAAAACAAAAGATTGACGACAATAACTATCAAAATTTAAGTGAATTCGTAAATGATTTTAGACTGATGTGCGACAACGCGACGACCTACAATCATCCTGATACGATTTACTTCAAAGCTGCCAAGAAATTGCTTCACGTTGGTCTGAAAATGGTCACTCCTGAGAAATTGAGACAATTACGACCAGTATTGACGTATATGCATGATATTTCAAAAGATGAACTTGGTTTTGAATTAGGCGTCGAGGATCCTAACAATCCAGATGTCCTGGTGACTGAAGAACAGATTGAGAAAGAACGAGAGCAGGAGGAACGTAATGAAGAGGCCGAGGAACTGCGCAAAGAGAATCAGAGGAAAATGAGATTGGCGAGCTTGGGTAAGTTCGAAGCAATCCCGGATGATCTCACGCCCGAAGAGATCTTAAAGCAAGCGAAAGGAGCGGCTAAGAGTGCTTCTGAGAAACTTAGTCTGAAACGCGTTAACTCAAAGATGGGTTTCCTGAGGCAGAAGAAGGACGGTACTACGAGTTTGCAAATTATAGTACCTGGAGACGGTGTTATTCCTGGGACTAATCAGAGGCCGGTATCTCTGGGTCAGCTAATAGGAAAACTTAACCACGGAACAGGCGCGCTTGCCGGGTTCCGTGAGGATAGAAGAAATATGTCAAAACCAGTGAAACCTTTGTACTATGGAGCTTTTGGTTCTTATGCTCCAAGTTATGATTCAACCTTTGCTAATCTTACCAAGGAAGAGACTGACTTGGTGTATCAAACTTATGGAGATGATACAGCTGTTCAGTATGCAGAGTCGATATTGGATTTTGCCAAGGATTGTGACTATACTTTAACCATGGTGGACGATCTGTTAGACATTTTAACCAGTGGCGATCATCGAAAGACTAAGAAGTTCTTGGAGGAGCAGCGCAGACTTCGTGAGGAAGAGGAGAAGATAAAACATCTATTGGAAAAACCACTTCAAGATGTTAATAGAAATATCCCACCGGTAGACAAAGTAAAGGTTGACATGGACCAATTGAAGAGTCTTTCTGACTTGGGCATCGATGTAAACTTTTTGGAGAATCTAGGTAAATATTTACAACGAAACATCTCTTTACTTTAAATAAACCACAGTAACCATGAAAGTATGCAGAATATTAATTCTATATTTTCAACAATTATGTTACAGAGGAGGAGTTGAAGTTGACAGAAGAACGTGCAGTTCTTCAAAATCGTCTAGATGATACTTCCCAAATGTTAGGTCGTCTAAGACAAGCGCAACACGAGCGCCTATCAGCGCCACCTCCAACGCACTTGTCAAACATTTCAAAACCCCAAGACACCGAAATGATCCTAGCAGAGAAGATCACGGACAACCTAGCTGATATAGCAAAGAAACTTCCTCCATCAGCTATAGCTCCTGTAGAGGGTCTACGAAGAGCAATGGGTATTGCACCTATTGGCGGCCCTGAGCCAATGGACGTCGATCCAATAACTCATAATTCAGCAATTGGAACGGAGAATCCTTTGATGCCAGCGAATAACGCTAATCAGGTTCCCCAGAATATATTACCCACGCCCACACCTATTCAACCTGGTACCTTGCTCAACGTTACGACTCAGCAAAATCAAACCATCAGTATAGTAAATGCAGGACAACCTCCAATTCAAATACAGATTGGTATGCAGCATAATCAATCCAATACTCTATTGAGTGCAGTGGAAGCCTCTGCAGTACCGGATCTCGAATCTGAACTTCGTGAATTCCTCGAGAGTGATCCCACACTAGGACACTCGCCACTACACGATGATAAGACTCTAGAGGATATATTATCGGAGTCGTAACCCATAGACTCGGACAATGGCTCGCTGTAATCTAAATCTCTAGACTTAGGCTAGGCTGTACATTTTAATATTTTAGATATATGAAGGTCACCTTCAGAAACTAATCAATAAAGAAACTTCGAGTGTCCCGCAACTTATGTAATTTATTCATTATCGACATTTACATTGAGTTTCAAACTTTTCTATTGCGTGTTCAAAAATTTATATAATAAGGTCGGCTGTTATTGATTTACATTGCGTGCAGGAAATCACTTTTATGAAAATCTCTTAGAGCTTGCCGAACTTTGTTAATTGAACTCACTTTGAGTCGTGAGAGATTACACACTGGGTCGAGTGATTGATTTATGTACCATGAATACAATTTTTTTAATATCAGTCACGTTCGATACAAAAAGTCTTGAAACTAACTGTCCAGCTGATAATTACCCACAGAGGGCACTTAATTACATTGATTACGTACAAGATATTCATTGTAATTATAGATAATGCAGTCTGATAAGGGGTACTAATCAAAAGAAAGATCATTAGGCAGAACCAACTTACGACTCATTACAGCGCTCTGCTTTTTCTATTGAAATATTCTTTGTAAAGTTTGAAAGTAAACTTTGTTCCGTATCTAAAAGTACGCCTTATACGTTTAACTTAAGTTTATCAGCGTGTGTAAATTATTCTAGCATTACAAAAGGGACGTTACAAGAATGCCAACCTACGGTACAATAACAAATATAGAATCCTTAAAGAATTTAATATTGCGACGAAACTTTTTTATACTCAAAGAAAAGATAAAATGATTCTCCAAGAAAAATAGCAAAGCTCATACCACTTGAAAAGGAAATTCGTTGTAGTCAACCCTAATACGTTACCAAGGATAAACCTTCCTACTCTTACTATACTGTTGGACCGATAAAAATTGTATTTATATCCGGTTTTGGTTCAGGTTAGGGTAGCTTGGTTCTTCAGTGTGTAAGGAATGCAAAAAAAGGCCTTTACTATGAGAAACGCGTGGGTGGTTTTGCACCCTCGAATGCGTAGATCTCAGAATTTAATGCCACCTTTTTTTGACACGTTCCGGTTTCATTCGTTACCTCGTTCTTCGCTTTGAAACTTTCCGGTACCTTCGTATCTGCTCGGAATTTACAACTGGCGTCTCTATCTATGAGGGGAATGTTATATAATTTTTATAAATGGTATAAATCATACAAGATATTCCGTATAATTTTACACTTAGTACGTCCCAGTTTTGGTCTGGTAGACATATGGTGGGGGATGTTCATTCAAAAGCCTGTTTACTATGTCTCACCGGTGGTCCTGAATGCGACGCCTTGCCAAGGGGTGGTATAAAAGCACGTCGGGACGCCACTCTGTTGCTATTTTTATCACGCTCTTGGGGAGCTACGAGAAGCTCAAAGTCCTCGGTGTGGATATTTATTAATAGGTGAACGTTTTAAAGCGATCGAGTCATTCCACTTAGCTTTTTCTACTTTAACGTTTTTTCAATAGAAACTTACCCTCCTCGTGCATACACGTCTGAAGAAGGAACAATTGAATGAGGCAGCACTTTATTGGAAATAAAAATTATGGGTTAATAAATCGTTTGACTGGTGCATTTAATTCCCTTGAGTTAAAAAAATGTATATTATTTGAAATCAAGCACTGATGGGCGATTGTCTGATTCCAAAAAAACTTTTCAGCAAAAAATTGTATCGAAGGACTCGTAGAGTATTCTTGATGGAAAGGTTTTTTTTTTGGGGGGGGGGGGTCAAATGTGAATAATTATAGACGGGTATTTTTAGACCGGCTTTACGAAGGGTTGGAACCCTCGGCTTGAAGTACAACACTCTGGATGTAGGGTGGTTCGGTAGGGGTAGATGCTTGCTTTAACCCTCGTCCTTTCGGAACTTGAATAGGTACACCGCAACCCATCAGCCCCTCTTATTAGACTTAAGAGACGAGAAACCAACGAGGATTCAGTTTTGCATTTATTATACTCTAAAATTGCTACAGGCTATGCAAACAACCCAAACAAAATCACATGAAGTATATTTCTTTTTAATTTGTTTTCAGGATCCCGTGGAGCATGCTGGGTGTCTTATTTTTTATATATTTACCTCGAGTACAGAACTTTTGAAATAATTTGTTTAATCTTTTCTTTATTGATCTGACAGTATTTTTGGCTTATTTTTAAAGGGACTGATTTACTTTTTATAGTATCCCATATGTGGTATGTCTAACCTTCTTAAATATTCTAACAAATTTTCTTTAAGTTTTCTCATAAATTTAATGTACTTGTGGTATGTTGCAAATTTTTGGTTATCTAAAAAATTATTCCCCTGGGGGTCGAAGTTTATTATTGTATCTGAGCAACTTCAATCTTCAGAGTATTCAGAGCTTACTAGACCAGTTACGCCTACGGGGCACCCTTGGCATTTCGAAGGTGCTAACTGTCAGGAACACCCCTTGCAAAATTAATCACTGTCTCGCGACGAGAATTTACTGGAAGCACGTGTTGAACAAAATATGAAGTCTCACAATACTACGAAACGCAGCCTTCACCATCGGGACACAGTCACCCCGTGGTAGTCATATTTCAGGGGTAGCGAAGCCGTAGATTTTCGAAATGAATCCAGAATTCGTAGTGAGATACTAAATGGTAAAATCGAAGTTGTACGCAGAAATAAGAGTCAACAGTTCTTTATTTTTCGTATTTAAAAATTCTTAAGAGATTCAAAAAAGTCGATTCTATGGAATCGTAAAATTTGATACAGAATACGTCATATTGGGTAAACAGTGTAAAATACATTTTTTGTTGCTTATTTGAAATTTTTTAAATTTAAATGGGTAACGAACTTGAGTCATTCGTACCATAACCCAACTGGCCTAACTGGCAGTCAGTTGCACGGTGTCAAGACGTTCACGACGTAGCTAGTTAAAAAGTTGAAATTACGATTGCCATAGCGAAAACTCGTTAACAATTAGTGCCTCTTATTGTTCCATTATGTGTACGAATCAGTGACAGAGTGAAAGTGGATAATAAAAAAGAAAATCGCAGTTACAGATGACGGGCGTAAGGATGAACGATAACGGTGAGTAAAAATAGAATGGCAGATAGAGTCCAAGAGAGGGATTGTACTAGGTACTCTGTTGCCACTGTGATTTCGTCGTTCGTGAATTCCAGGGAATCTAATTAGGGTAATACAACCGACCTGAGCCTTACCTTTTTACGTGGGCAAAACTCCAGGGAACTCGGTATCTGTCTCCATTTATTATTAAAACGTATCTCCCTACCATCGCCATAATATTCTCGGCTCTCGATACAATATCAAACTAATTTCCTGAAATCGTAAAAAAAAATGGACTGTGCTAAATTATCTTATTTTCTAAAAAAAAAATACCTAATAAATACATAAATATGAAACGTAAGCTTGCAATGAAAAATTATTTGTTAAATTCGATCCTTATCTGATATTCTTACCGCGATTTTCAAAAAATGTCAGTATTAGATATTTAATACTCAATGAATATTTAACAAAGCTTTGTGAAAATACGTAACCGTGCGTAAATATAAAATCCAAACTTACAAAAAATATTTTATCAAAAATGCAGTATTACATATTCTACTTTAATATTCGCAATACTTACAGTTATCAAAGCTTTGTGTCCAAGTCCCTTGCGCGATTATCCGACCTCTGATTTTACGAGCTTCTACCGTTTGAGACTGAATCGCTCAAAGCAGAGAAAAATGGCATCGATCCGGCCGAGTTCACTCGGCCTGAAAAACATTAAGCTCTATGGTCCGTAACGGAATAGAGCAGAAACGCCCGGCTAGATGCCATTGTAATTACTGCGACGTCACGTTTATAAAACACCAGTACAGGGCGCACGTACCCATCGTGATACACCCTGATGGCAGAACAAATTCATTGGCATACATTGTACTGCGAGTACGTTGCATAACGTTGAAACGTGCTGTTAACAGAATTAAGTACAATTGACGTTTCATTTACGGTGGCACAACAAAACCGGTATGTGGCTATGAAAAAAAATATATAATCCCACTAATAGAATTTCGTAATTGTTACAATGAGAATTTAATAAAATATCCGCGAGCGAGTACGACTAACCATTTTCGTAAAACGAATACAGAATAACCGCGCGTATTTCCATGGCAGTGTTGACTGACGTTACTGTTAAGCCGTTGGCGTGGCGTATACTGCGTTTAATTAACTTTTCCGGCTAAAGCCCCGTATATTTCTATATACCCATTCTGGATCGTGCCACGGTACAGTTTTTAAAAATCCTCGATGAAATATCCTCGATGATCGATTTTACTTTCAATGGGAACCCATCCGTCGATTCTTTGCTGCTTTCTACGATATTTAAAGGTTAGAAAACTAAAACCTGCGTAACAATGAACTCACTAAATTTTTTTCATTAAACGACAAACACGCGTAGGTAACACGTACCTTCGATATCATTTAAACTGTATGGATATGACTCTGCTTTTATAACGCTTGCTGCGTGTGCGTAACGCATGGAATTGAACTTTTTACTGGAGTAACGAAGAATAATTTTCAGTTATAAAACCTCGAGACTCCATCTTGCTCGATATATCGATTTGATATTTATCGTTCCTGTCAAGTCGCGAGAGAAAAAGAAATCGTACCGCTACGTGCTGACTTCGTGCATTAATTTGAACGTCCATTCGTATCGTGAAATAAATTAAGTTAATTTCACTCGTGAAAACATGGCTACGGTGTATATATATATATATTCATTTCCTACCTTACAGTTCCCTTCGTTTTACTTCGTTACGTGGTAGACATTTTTTCTTCCTCGATTTGTTTCCTTTTATCTTTGTACCTCGAGAACACTTCGGGTAAAGATTTCACGTGAATTTACCCAGTCAAGTATATTAAAACTTTGGTTGTTTACTCGTAGAATACTTTCTGAATTGATCTAACAACATGCGTAACGCAAGACAACGAAATTGCGGAAGTTTACGAGGAAAATTTGTCCTTTTGACTGAATCATTTTATCCGTATACGTGTATTCCATGAAAAGGTATACAAATAAAATACGTATAGTACGTAAGAGCCGTCCATGTGTTTCTAGAATTTTACGTAATGAAAATAGTAGGAGGGAATGAATCAAATTATGAAGTTTGTATTGCGGACTAAACGTTAACGAGGGATGTAGTAATTTTCTCGGTATTATTTTAGGGGATCCAGGAAATAATTATTTACCGGATATTTTGCCATCTTGGCGTTAACGTACTTGTTTAATTATTTCATGTGACAAACTGTGACCAAGTGCCGTTTGGACGCGAGTAATATACAACAAAGTTCAGATGCTACCACGGAGTAGTCTAACGAATCTGGTGGCGGGAGATTTGAATTAAATTAAATTACGTAGATCATTTGAACGTTGACCAAATATACATATACATATATGCATGTATACCGGAAACGAATAGAAATCAGAACGCGGTGTATCCGCAGCTCTGAATTCTCGTTAAAACGAGATATTGCCGTGTGAATGGAGTAACAGAAAAAAATGGTTGACTGTCCAGCATAACGACACACAATTTATTTTAAATTCAGACGGGCGAAACGCGGTAAAATATGAATCGTACCGGAATACGTTCATTTATAAAATCTTGTACGATGCGTTTCCCTTCGCTTCGGATAAAACGGATTAAAAATGATACCATTTTCCGGAATCTGTGAATACCATTAGCTAACGTATATAGACAATATATATACCTCTGAAATGTACCCTCGATTTCTTTTTCTTTTTCTTTTTTACGAAATATAACGATTTTCGTTAAAATCAATATTTTACGTAATTCACTTTACGTAATCCGCCATTATTGTTCGCTGCTGGCAAAGCATTTTATTATCGTTAAGCTCGCACGTATTTACGTAATTTACCATTTTGTACGTCATTCCCGAACCTTACAGTGTGACCACTTTTTCTTTAATCTATACTCAACATAATCACAGGTAACTTTTAATCAACCATGCCGTAAGGTTATAATGAAATTTCCATGTGCATCGTAATTTTGTTATTTCATTTAACAGGAAATCGAGCTGTATGGCACCCTTGTTTATCGACCGAGTAAGAGCACGCAGGACCGTCTATCAGGTATACAATGACTGAGAATCGATTATCCCTGGTCAGATTGGGGAATGAACTTTGGTAATATCGACTATCGGAATATATACTCGACTCGATAAATCAGACGGCTGTAAGGGACAGTTCGATAGGTCTAGAACACGTCCAGAAGCCTCGAGTCAATTATAAAATTGCTAAGTCAACAATTTCCTCCTTGAATTTCGTGGAAGATACGAGGCGACGCAGTAGCCCAACCATGCGTGAGCGGAATCGAGCGAGCGACGGTCGTAAAGAAGGTCTTTTCAAGGAGAGCTCGTTCCTCGAAGAAACGACCTCAAGGGAATTTGTTTTTATCTTGAAATTGCAAACGATTCGAAATATAACGCAGAAGTGCATAGGCGTTAACGTACTGCCTGAAAAGCCGATTGAGGTTATGTGCTGGTTGCTCGATCTCGTTGGGTTTTCGGATATTGTTCAGCTGGAAGAAATATATATTTTTTATTTTTAACACGAACCCCGTATATAATATACATATATGAATACATACTTGATTGCTGAATCAGCAACGAGGTGGTATAACCTAATTATGCGTGCTATCGAGATTTAATGAATTTGTTACATATTGGATATCGGAGCTTCAGCACGAGGGCTGCTCGTGGATACCGCAAGGTTATTGAAAAATATTAATCAACTTTTTGTTTCACTTTCTCAAGATCTGACGCAAGCAGTTGGTAACTACTGTATTCATTCTATACAAAGTTTTCTCGCTCCCCGTGGTATTATCTCTTTAGCGGTTACGGTCCTTTTTGCTGTCCCGGTTAAAGGATGCAGGTTCGTCAGGACGAAGGTGATTGATGAGACTTTTCGCTTGTCGTCTGTTTGGCTTTTGGCGAAAGTCTTACGAAAATTCAATTAAAATCCCCAACACCTCGGATATCCTCGTAGCAATTAATTTTTGGCTCGCCGTAAAGTCTCCTTGAAGTAACCCACGTGACTTCGTAACATTTAATCGCGAGTCATGCTGTCTTAACGGCGGCTACGGACGATCGTGGTAGTTCGAAGAAATTCGCGAAAATACTTCCCGAGTCATCTGGTACTTTCGGAATTATACGAGGAAGATGATAAAATCAGAGAAGACTCGGTTATCTGGATTTAAACACTAAACAACCTTCTTTAGCTCGCGTGTAAACCATTGAAGTGTAATGGTGAATCCCATAGGGTGAAAATCGATTTTCGCTGTAATTACAACGAAGTCGAGCAGGCTGAAAGTCGTCGAGACGGTTTGCGTAGAATCCCCTGTTTCTGTTTAGGTTAGGGTCGTGTATACCTGTATGGTATTTCTATGGAATTTATTTTTTTTTTATTTTTTTTTTTTTATTTCCTCTTCCGCCAGACGATGCTAATCGTATCGTCTCCATGGAATATTGCTAACGCTTGCTCTGGATAACGAGATAGGAAGGAGACAACAGCTACGTCATGCAGCTACGTCCATGGAGTTTTCACAAATCCATTGGAAAATTTTGACTTCCGGTATGCAAGTTACAGCACTTTTTGGAAAGCGCTGTTTATTTGAATGTAACTTGAGTAACTTTGAGCGCCTTCGAGAGGATTCGGAGCTACGGAGGTGAGAAAGCCGAACGACAGAAAAAGAAAATTCAAGGATTTCGTATTGCAAAGTAAGTAATATTAAAAAGAAAATTTATCATGTAACAAAAGAAAAACGGCATCGGAAAAAAAAAGAAATGTTAATTTCATCTGGACCAGCTGTGACTACGAGGAAAGCATATTTAACGTGCTGGAACAAAAAAAAAAAACCTGGATTTGCATCCCACGCAGATCTATAGATCCTGATAAAGTTTTAGCAAGAATTTTTGTGATTTAGCAAAAAAAGGGAAAAAAATAAAAAATTTCAACTTCGCCACCAGGATTTCAAAATCCAAGGATCTCATCTCATACGGCAGCAGAGCGTGTAACTAGATATATATCCACTCATGCTTCAAAGAAAGAAAGTATCAATTCGCTCCATAGTGAAAAAAGTGTCTTCCACATTTCTAGAAAAAAATTAACGCAACCCATCCCTTTTATCCCTTTTATCTTCCGATCATAGGAGAGAGAGAGAGAGAGAGAGAGAGAGAGAGAGAGAGAGAGAGAGCTCTTAAGTTTTCTCTCGTAGGAGTATCCATATAGCGATGTCAGCCCAGAGACAGAGCCAGCATCCCTCGCAGCCACGTGGGCGAGGATTCCACTGACAAAGAGAAAACAGCCATTTGCGAAGTCTCGTGAAACCGAAATACCTCAACGCGGCAATTTCGCGGTATTTTCGAATGGGTTTCTGGAACGTACGAGTATACAGGCTGTAGCTTATTCGGGGTCCGATTAGAGAGGAGCCCCTATCAATATCGTAAGAATGCCTCGTTCTACTAGAACAATGCGTTGATAGGTTAGGTTAGGTTAGCTGCAATATTATTATTATTCCTACGACAAGTATAAATAAAGGTAGCCGGGTCCTCAGACGATTTGGGCTCCTCCCTCGTCGGACCCCGGCGAAGTTACGTCATTCCTCGTACAATCTTTCAGAAGGTATCACTTTATGGTCAATATCTGAAAATTGATATTTTCATACCAGTACAAGTGCCAACAGCACCTATGTGAACTTGGCACTCGACTTAAAAATATTTTAAATTTTCAAAACGCGATTCACATGGGTGCCAACGATGTCTACGCTTTATCTCTAGATACGTATTCGCTCGTCCACCTAGCTTTTACAAGACGACACGTTTAACTTTTAACACTCTGAAGCTGCTCCCAGGTCGAAGACTCCATGATCCCAGGAGAAATATGCCAGGGATGGATCTACCAATTGGTTCAAATTTAAGGCTGTACCACGTGGTGATCCAGAATACACGGACCATTGGTCCAAGTCCCTTTTCTCATGGGACAGTCAATGTGGACGAGATATTAGACAGGGGTTCTTATCAGGTCTCCAATAAATCCTCCATGATGCTGCCCGACCTTTGACCCCTCACAGTAATTTCTTTTGCACGGCAATACATACCTCAGAAATTTGACAGTCCCTACGTCACTTCCAGCCTTCACGAGAATATTGTGGGTTCGCCATGTTTATCTTTGCTATATAAATTTCCCTAGATCACAATTACAGGAGCCGGATGTCTTGGCATTGGTTAGCCCCACTTTCCGGTATGTGTAATGGTCGTAAATTAAATTAATTAATAGGCTGTATAGGTTGCTTATCGGGTGACGGTTTAGGGGTGAAGCAATTATCGTTAGCCTTGAGCACCTGGACCATTGGACGACCTAGTAACAGGCTTAAACAAACAAACGACCTGTGGCATCCTAACCCTTCCATATACTGTCTGCTGATCGATTGGATCCATATTTGAACATATTGCACATTCGATTACGGTGGTTTCAACCCAACATGGTTTTACCGAGGTTTTATCAGCTACTTATCTAGTCTTGGTCGTATCAGCCGATCAACGTAGCTCAATTATGTGGTTATCTCAATAATCCGATTATTTCAATGGCTTTGTTCTCAGGTTTACCAAACGTACGAGAAGCCACTCGGCTCTTTGGTACATGACGGCTGCCTATACATTGCCCAGAGGAGAAGTTACGTTAACAGATCGTACAAGAAAGGAAACTGACTACATTTATCAACGCCCAGCATCTTCCTCGTTCAGAAATACATCTTCGGACTGGACCACTTCCTCCCTCGAAACTTATCGAGCTTGTACCGGGACGGAACATGAAATTTTGTACGAAAACACAACCAGGCATAGATACGTATCTCCATAAACGTAAGTTGTTTTGGTTGGCAGTGCTTTAACCATCCTATGACGATACCAGCCCCCAGCATCCCTAGTCTCACTTTAAATGTCAGTCTGATACTTTAAGGAGGCTTCCTGAAATTCTCTAGATCCTTTATGCACCTGAGTCCAGGCAGGTCGTTGGTAAATTATACATTTTTAAAAATATTTTCATTTTTTGACAGGTGAGTCTGCTTCCTGGTGACAGCTGCGGTACCGTCCATGGATTTTGAATGAGAATCTAATGAGCTCCTAAGAAATCTTCTTAGAGGAAGATGCGAACTCGTTTAGCATTCTTTTCACGTCGAAGTGCTGACCTCCGTTATCGGAAAACGTTAACCAGGATCTCCTGGGAAGTTCAGCCTCTGTGTAAGCCACCAGGTTGGCTGGCGTTACATTACCAGCCACGTCACCGTCGGCAGACATTAATGCCTATGGATACGACCCTGGCTGCTTATAATGTAGGTCGGCCTCGTTTGATTAATACTTAATGTCTGTAGGAGGATTGATTAGAAGGACGTAAATAATAGAATTGCTTTTCACGAACTTGGAGAATTTTTAAGTAACTCAGCCGAGTTCTTACGAGTCACTTAAATTACAGATTCCTACGATGAATACCTAGCACGTTCTTCGAACGTTAAACTTAATCCAGCTAAAGAACGCGACTCCTATTGTACTGCGAAGTTGATAAATATTTACAAGATTCTTTTCAGCAGGTATAAAACAGAGTGCTCCCGTACGAGGCACGAGGTTTCACACTTTGCTCAGAGAGGGACAGACTGAAAGAAAGCGTCAGGGCCTCGTCCGGATGAGATAACGAGAGAGCAAAAGACAAGAACGAGACGACGAAGAGGATGGAAAGTAGGCTGAAAATATTCGAGGCAACTGAGTAGTATCAAAGGAATTTCTAGGTAAGACAAAAAGTAGATTACTCGCATCATTCCTTTTTATATACGTATAACATACTACCTCGTTCTTCCAATTTTTTTAACACTGCAATGTCTGTATTCTTATTCGAGAATTTTTTTTTTTAGTTCCGAACAAAAAAAAATGTCCCAGAAGACTCCAGAACGAGCGACCCGGCTCCCGTTCTAACGAACATCGCGCCACGTATATCTCGTAGCCGAGAGAGGAAGTGAGAAAGGGGAAAAAATTAAATGGAACTACGTCAGAACATTTTTCCAACTTTGTCAACGTCGCGATGTACTTGACTGTATCATTATATAATACAGCGTCGCGCTACCCCCTATCGAGGGCACTGCGAACTAACGCCATAGAAAAGTATAAGCCGATTTATCGTCCAGTGAAAATTGGCCAGTAAACACAGCAGGCGAAATAGAAATTCAAAGAGATGGTCTCTCCAAGTTATCTAAGCTGTACCGTAGCGATAGGAAACATCTTCTACGCAAGTGTCCCTTAACACCATTTTATCGTTGGGATGTGTTAACAGTGCGCCGCGACGACCAGCGTAACCATCCACATCGCTACACCCGTCACGTACACAGCGACGATCATTATCGGGTCGTTCTTTTTTTTCCCTCTACTAAAGAGAATCATTTGCTCGACTGTACAGCAATTGCCACCCTTAACCGGTAGGGTGTCCTATCTACCCTCACTCGTAATTATTCCTGCTAGTGATATCTACGGCCCTTCAACACGGTACGTATTCGCGTTCGTGTGAATGCAAGTACATCCGGCAGAGCTCAGTATGTTATGAATATTGCCTGGGCAAGTAACCGTGGCCGAGGTCGTCGCTTCGGGTATTTACCAGGGAATTAACTCAGCGGCGGTCTCCTGGGTTGCGACATACGAGCGTGCTTGTCGCTGGGAAACGTAGCTGTGATCAATAGCCAGCAACGTGAAAGGAAGGAAGGAAGCAAGTGGGTACTCACCTGCCCAACGTTCAACTATCCGTGGCTGTGTGCGATCACGTGAAATCACCGAAGGACACGAGAAAGGGTAGATTGTTAGTTTTCGAGAAAACTCAATAGCTAAGCAGACACCGAAGCGAGAAAGTGAGGTTAGGATTGAGATTAAAGTTTGGGAAGGAAAGTGAGCAAGTTAAGTATCGATTCTCTCATCTCGTATCGATATAAATGAAAGAATTTCTTTCTTTTTTTTCTCAATCTTTATTTAGGGCTGCTACGTATGTTCTGGCTAGGGGTGATTCTTGCCCATTGCTAAATCTCGCCGCGTATCCTCGGACCACTCGAAGGTGAAACGAATGTGGCTAAACTCGAGGTTCTAGCATAATTTTCGGGTTTCCCCAGCTCTCGTGGGGTGGAAACTGCCTGAGGAAATGGGAGCCATTATTAAGCCAAAACCACGGATATTAAGCTCGGGAGGGAGAAAGCCGATAAAGCGCAGTATGGGTACTTTGAATTTTTTTTATTATTATTTATTTTCTCCTTTTCATCCTCCGCTACTTTATTCTTGTACCGAGCACCTATATTCTAATCTGCCTAGCTACGTTCTCCGCTGTATATTCTTTTTATCCAATTCTCATCGAGTGGAAGTTATTTTCTTCTACGCCTTGAGCTCTTCACCTTAGCCTCAAAGAATATATATATTGAAGAACGAAACGCATCGCGAAAACACGCTCCACGTAGTAGGCGTCTTTACACGAGAAATACGATATCACTCGATACTCTCTTTACACTTTAGACATACAAACAAACCGACAACTATTTTTATGTATCCACGGTAAATTCCTATTCCCACGAAACGATAGAACCAATCGAAAAATCAATTCGAACTCGAACCGCGTAGTTATTGCAACGGCAGTCCGCGACCACGTAATTCATATACATATATAACCATGGCGTACAGTCGACCGTAGTGTATCGCGTAAAATCTGTATGGGGATATAAGAAAATTAAATTGATTTGTATCTTTTTTACTTAAAGATCTTGCCACATCTCGCAATTCGTCTCAAGGACCTGGGAGTTATCAGGAGGTATACGCATCGATTCATTCTGAAGATCCTTTGTCATCCGAATGGACCCTGACCTCTCGTGGAACCGTCCTCGACTTCCTGTTCTTAACTCCAAGGCAGGATCACTCCGTGAAATTGTTCAGGAATATTAAGTTTCGATTTTGGTCGCGCAATCTCAGCGCAATTCAGTGATTCCTCAAGGGAAGCCATCCGCACGGCTCGACGCACCAGGTACTCTGAGTTCATATCCGTCCTTTTGAATTCCCTGATGATGACTTCCTCTTTTTCTACCTCGCAGCAAATCCTGACTGGAGATTACACGTGGAACGTTGCCGTGGGCTTCTTGGTGAACATCGTGGGAGAGAGGAGCAGAAAGCATTTTCTCGACTGGCAAAGAAATCTTTGTCCCAGCGTCCTGCAATTTCAAGAGTTAACCAAGATGGTGATTCTTGATGAGAGAATTGCGTCTAGTGCAACGCCGCGCGTTATCTTCCTCTATTCTTTCTGCGTCCCATTCGCTTTTTTCACCGAGTGACTGTGACTACCCTTTCCCATTCTCCTGTGCGTATTCGTTCCGCGATAGAGCACGCGTGCGCCGCGGCATTGGGGGTGCAAGCTTGGCTCGGCCGGGTCGTCGAGACGCCGGCAGAGCGGCGTCGGGACGCGAGGTTCGCGTCTATCCTCGGAGAAACAACCTCGCATCTCTTATACCTGCGTGCTGCTCGCATCAGCCCCGTTAGTTCACTCGTACACTGTGGTGTATCGTTTCATGAGATTGTCCGTCGGGCCGGCGTGTTGTCTAGTATACTTTCTTTTATTTTCACTTTTATTCACTGTCCGAGAGTGTTTCATTCGACACACGTCCTACGGGAGACATTCTATTTCACGACGGTATTCCATTGGCTGACAGTAACGTCAAGATACTACTGAGCACCAAGAGAAGATACTCGTCTACGAGTAGGTTGGTGAGTAATCACCAATTCGTTAAAAAAAAAAAAGATAACTTAAGACAGGAATATTTTAGTAAGCGACTCGAGACAAGAAATTTTGTTAAAATTTTATTAATTATCTTGTCAATTTATTCTATTCGCTTTTATCGTACGGTGACATCGCTGGCTCGATCTTCCTGTAAGAAATATTAATTAGACAATGGCTTTGATCAATTAATTGGCTTTTGGGTAATAGCGTTGCCTGGGTGTTTGATTAAGGCCTTTGTCAATGACTTTATTGTGTTTATGATATATAACAGAAAAATCAATGGTTTCACTTGTTATTGTACTCAAGTGACATTAAGTAGGCAATTTTAAATGTACCGCCATCTGTACTTTCAAATTTAATAAAAGTAACCGGCTTCCCGTCCCAATCGCGTATCAAGGGCTTTAGTTTTTACAGCGCGAAGCGAGATTTATTTTTTTTCAGACTTGTATCTACCTGTTCGCCTCTCTATACTTATTTCCTATTCGCTACCGGCTGACACCTTTCTCTGCCTTTCTTTTTTTCATGAACTTGTCTCATTCTCTTTGTTCTGTTCAACCAGTCCTCTTTGGAAATTCAAACCGACGCTAACATAGCGTCCTTGTCAAACTTCATCCCTCTCTTACTTTCTGACCAGTTCTCTCTGCCTTTTTTCGCCATCCCCTCCTCCCTACCTCTCTGCCTCTCTCTATTTCTCTCTCACTCTCAGAGCTTCACAACTTTCCATCACTCCATTTCTCGTCTCGTTCGTTGTCCTCGGCAAATTAAATTTCGTCCAAACGTCTAGTCGACTTGAGCGCCCCTGCGGCGCACGTAGGAACCATCGAGGAAAAGGATGAGGAAATTACACTGAGCACAACATTCGCATTGGTTATAACACGGTTAATTAAATTCGTAAGACTTTTAAATATCCCGCCAGAAAGCACTGACTATTATTACAATCTAAATACTTTTTCATAGGGATATTAAATTTTCATATTTTCTCCGCGATGGAAGGTTCTTTATTCTTTATCCTGAACAAATTAAATTCCCTCGGATCGGCTACGTATATCTACATAGATCTATCTATATAGACTGTCACGTAATTTTGTGCAAACTGTGCAAGCAGAGTCTAAAAGCGATAGAGGACGAAATCTTGCTTAATGGAATCATCATTCGTCCTGGGGAATTCTTATCGCGAGAGACGTGTCACTTAAATTTCCCTGTTAAGTAGCACCCGGCTAAATTAACGGCCCTACGGATATTCGAAGCTTAGAGAACCCGGTAATCATCTCGTTCGTCAAGACTCACGTAATATCCTGCATACGTAGTCGCCATATCTAACATTGCAGGAAAGAAAAAGCATCAAATTCAATTTTCAGTTCTCACAAAACACCAGTACTTCTGTTTTCTATGACAAGAAACTCCCATCGTCCATCTTTATTATCCCTACGATATTTTATATGTCCCATATAGTCTCAGTCGATAAGTAGAAATCTACCTAAAATTTGGGCCGAGTGGTCATTTTCCCCATACAAAAACATTACCGCCCATCCCATAATCCATACCGTCATTTATACCCAGGGATGTTCGTCCCTGTCCTATTATTACCTATAGTTCTTGCATCTATAGATATACTATCGTGTACAGTTATCATAGTCAGTCTTCAATGCTAATGTGAAGTATTAATGTCTGACATCAATAGCCGCATTTAAACGTCCAGATTTATTAATCGAATAAGATCTGGTTTGCTTATGGCGATCGTGTAAAAAAGCCTTATACGATTGCACAAGACTCCAAACCCGTTTTTTCAATTTTCCCTCTTAGAGTCCAACCTTCGAATATCATATACGCATGTCTGTAAAATGGCTTCGGAACGTCTTCCTGTCAAGTCAATATAAATAATAGTTTATGCGAAAGAAGAGTCGACGATATAAAAATACATTTTTCAACATATACATATGACAGATATCATATTTTATCTCATATTTATCGTATCGCTCATATGGAATCTATATTTTTATTAAAATTCACAAATGGTATATCTATGTACAATATGATCCACTCACCGACTGAACTTATCGCTCGATACCACGCGTATACTCAACAAACGTTAATACTCTGCAAATCCGTCGATTCGTAAGCCTATTAATTAGATATCACAGATACTAGCCTATATCAAAGCCGAATTTAACGCTCGAAGCTTAAAGTACACTTAATAAACGTAAATGATCTATCACACGTTTATTACTTTAGCTCCGAGTTAAATCTCAGTTCACACCACCGTCTTGAGTTTAGGTTCGCTTAACGTGGCAAATACGTTTCCGTGCGTTAAAATGTCTGACGTAATCACGTTAAGGCTTTTAGGAATGAAACGTGTTTATTTCCTGTCGAGAAATTACTTAATATTTAACTACCGCCATAACCCCTCTTTCTACACCTCTAAGTAGGCACGTTACGGGTTATGGACTCGTTACACCCAATGGGACTGGCCTAATCTGTAGGAGATAAATCGATCCTGGACTCTTGAAGATGTTCGAGGGATAGTTGAGTTTACGGGGATTTTGCTAAAGAATTTTTTTTCCACAATAAGCTTGTCCCAAGGGGTTACAAGAGCGAGGAGGTAGATTTTCCGGACTGAAATATTTTTATCAGAAAAAAAACCTATTAGGACTCTTTCGAAGTGGATTTTTTTTCGTAGAGATTGTTTATAGGTACACGTATACTGTGATGATTATTATATAAATTTATATCGTTTGATAATCGACGCTAGGTAAATCTTATCTGTAATATACTCTGCAGACGCGATTGTGAATCTGTATGTATTCAGCTTTAATATCTGAATTAGTATTTATATATAAGTGTCTAAACTCATTCTCAAGCGATGCCACCTTTACGGGCTTTCTGGTTGGTATAGAAAATCGAAATTACCCAGAATCTAATAAGAGCGTTATCCGCTTTTATGGAAAAAAATTTTACATCAGTATCCGGTACCGCCTTTTAGAATCTAGTTAGCCGACTAAAATCATAAAACAGAAAGAAACGTGAAAGGAGAGATTAATAGGTAAACGGATAAGAGAAAAAAAAAGTGTATTACAATGTACAATCAAGGTTTAAAGTAAGCAACCTAACCTAAAAAGCAGACTCGTACGAAGCACGCTGCTCTTCCCGTATCCAACGATTACCCAGAGTGCACCACTCTCGAGATCTGCCGAAGGAACATACGTTCGTATATTAACGTGTTACGTTCGTTATACAAGAGTCCACGGAAAAGAGCAGCAAATTGGTTATCGATCGATTTTTTCTCTCTCTCTCTCTATTTCCAGCCGATAGAGGGTACTCGTAGTCGATACCTACAGTTCTCGAGAACAAGGCCAATATCTGAACCCTCTAGATTCGGACACCCGTAACGAACTTGCATTGTTCGCCGACAGAGTGCCAACGTCTCTTTCCCTTAGGTCTATTTTTACCTTTGCCTCTGTTCGTCTCTCTTGATTTGTCTTATCATCTTTCACGCCTTACGAGTACCTCAGCAGCCATCTTGCACTTGGGAACAAGGCTGAAAAGTCGAAGAGGTTGACTGGTGTCATTCCTTTGTGATACTGAAAATTTGTCTAGACTACTCAAGCGGGATTACCAAGCAATGATCGATCGGTCGGTGTGTACGATGCTTAAGCTTTTCCACCGTCAAGTATCGCGTGAGACGGTTTTGTTTGGAGCTAACGAGATTACCTTGAATAATCTTTAACGCTGCGACCTGATAAGGAGGCTCCGAAATAAGCCGGAAATCAGATCCAGCAGGCGTTAGGTAAGACCGAACTGTAACTAGGGTCGTGTTCGAGAATGAGTTTTAGAGCTTGAATGAACGTAGCCACGTATCTATGATTAGGAGGCACTCTCCAGCATCCGTGACCTCATCTTATCAGCTTTCCTTTACCTATTGGTACAGATCCAGTCTGCTTTATCCAGCGTGCGAATATTGCTTCCGTTCCACGGTGTCATATAGGGGAAAAGTATCTTTAGGTTGGTACTGTACAGATGACATGGTAGTGGAACTCAAAATCGATTGGTACCCCTGACACTTTATCCAGAGATATTTGCGTCTCTTTGTATCGCAGATGCTCTTCGTCAATGTCGTAAAAACTTACTTTCTATTCGTTTGCGTTCCTTAAGTCTACTCAGCACTTATAGTCGTTATCAATATCCACGGATCAAGTTACGAGTGCGTACGTACCTTAGGGAAATTGATAAGGGACACGAAGTGCTCAAAGTTTTCTTTTCTTCAAGTTTTCCCATTACCGATCATGATATCTCTATCCAGATTTTATTCGGCTCTAGTTATATTGCTTGAGAACAACTCGCCAGATATTGTCCTTATTGTTTAATTATATTTCGTTAATATTACTTTTAAAGATCCAATTAAATATTTTATTATTATAATTCACATTGCCAGTAGATTAAATCGATAGGATAATCTTTACGGTATATGTTGCCAATGGAACGTACTATATGTCATATCTGATACACATATATATATATACTGATGAGCTACCTCATGTATTTATATGTTACGTTGTACCGCAGAGTCAAATTGCTTTCGTGTATAGTTTCTTTTAGTATTTTGAAATTTATCCATTTGCCAATTGTTGTTTATTAGGACAACAAATGCAGTGCTTGCAAAAATAGTTTATCTTGCTGCTGTTACTCGTTAAATGTTGAATAATGGATTTTTTTGGATTATTAACTAGTTGCATTTGGCTCGTTGAAATTTTCGAATTTTTTGTTTTACTGCTAACCTCACGTCTTACGTTAGTCTCGCAACGGTGGTAGGTGCCGTATTAATCGAGATAGGACTCCTTTGGGACAATGAAGGATTTATTCGATCCGAACCTTTTTCGATACTGTTATTTACGCTCGACATCGTGTAACTACAACGGAACATGGAAAATATCGATCTCACACAAGATTAAATTCAGCTCAATGGTCGTACGGATGTTAGCAAGAGGTATGAGCCTGCAGATAAATCGATCGATTCGTATGCATAGTCAGTGATAAGAAAGACTTAGCTGATATTAGCGTAAGCCTGAAATATCGTAGATCATTCTTGAGTTCAGGATAGGAGAATCTTTTCCTATAACGTTAAAGGGACATGAAAGTCATTGTAATTTTCATTGTAGCTCCGAAAAAGTTCGAAACAGGATAAAATGATCTGAATTTATAGTTGAAAAAAATTTGTATTATAAGGTCACTAAACATTTTTTTATCTAAGGATAATATCGAACCACCCGGTATATCTGTTTTCAGTGATCAGAAAGCTCAAGGATTTCTAGGGATGATTAACGCATAATAAACGAGCTTTCGTTAATGTTAATTCTACCTGCCGCTTTGTTAACCAGCGGCATTTAATACCGACAATAGGTAGGAATCTGCGATACCCGTAAAATATATATTAATGACTTTCCGCCAGGCATTAGGAAATGACGAAGTGGTAGCAGGGTAACGAACGATGGCCGGGAGCCAAGAGAAACGGGCGAACAGGCAAAAACGACGAGGCAACGAAAACGAGTAAAATATTATATGTCCACATAAAGAGAATTAGATGACCCATCGAAAATCAGTCATACGGAATAACGAATGATGGAGTTTCCGGGAATAAAGTTACCGGACGTCGTATTAATCCTCAACGATAAAAATTCAGCGCCAAAGGAAATTGGAAGTACGATATGACGCTTCGTCGTCTACCATGAAATTGGAATAACTTTGATAAGGATTTTTTCGCCAGTGCGTGGTGGGAAGGATGAAAAATATTTTCCAACCAATAAAACATGGGATAACCCCAAGCTCGAAGGCAAATGAAAGAAAAGCATCGCATTAAGATGCATTTTGCCAGAGAAAGGTTTGACACGTAAATAGCCAGAGTCGCCATTTCCAAGCCTGCTGATACATTTACATAAAATTTCCATTCCCAGTGCAAGGTTCTATACTCAACTTCTACGTACCTATTAGGTACCTTACCATACTTATTATACATACCAATATATATATATATATCCACCGTAGGTGGTTAATATCTACATAAAGTTGGTAGATATTTGTAATTCTGCAGAGTTGCCGTTTTCTAACCTTTAAATTTTATGGAATTTAATTCATGCACATTAGCTGCTTTTAACCTTCACCGTAATCCTTACTAATGACTGAAGGATCAAGCTAAAATTATTTTTAAGTTATAAACTATTACGATAACGTTCAACCTTACCGCCTGTTTTCCACTTTTGTACTACCAAAACACGACGTTCTCTGTAAGCTGCTTAATATGGTCAAAGGACACGCCGTACAAATTACTAAGGGCAACTGTGTACTTTGTGTAATTGCTGCTCTTTCACAGTCTCGTTAATATATAATGGTCTTCTCAGTACGGGTTTTACGTATCGGTCGACTCTCATCTCGCTCAGGAAAATCCTAATGGTGGGTACAGGTCCATACGCGCTCTGAAAATTTATCCTGTATAGAAGCATCCAAATAAGATGATTAAGTCAACTCGTGTGGTGATTTTCCACTTTTATGTCATATGTGACTACGGGTCCCCTGACATTATAGGAATATATGTATATATATAGTGTTTGTCATTTACCACCTCAGAATTTCTAATTCGACGCAGATACCAGAGGGTTTGCATACTCTGGGTGTCCCTCATACCGCAACTGGTATGTCAACATTTCTGTCTGGCAATCCTGGCGAGCTCGCTCCGAAATCCTTTGAGGATTAAATGAAGTTCACATAGCGCGTCTGTCAATTTTGGTCGGTCTTGCAATTCACGGTGGTAGTACAGGATTCGAAGGATATTTCTGGATAGAAGCTTGGATGCAGACGTGACAATAGAATATTTGAGTGCTGCAGTGCTGGGATAAATCCTTCTGTACGAAGTGAAGGTTTCGCGCTGTAGCTTTAAAAAAAGATAAACTTTTCTCGCTCTGTTGGATTCATTGAATCTAGCGAATGGTCGTTCCTTCTTTTCTCTCCGTAGAGACCATTCGCGCGACAGGAATTGAAAGAAACGTATAAAGGTTACCGAGAATGCCATTGTGATGATTTTCGATCATTTATAAAGCACCTTGTGGCGTTTGTTCTTCTTTTTCTTTTTTTATTCCCCGCATGAGACGCCAAGTCTTCGCGTAGATTGCGTGCGTACTTCCGGTGGTCAGTGTACAATATATCTACATCTGTCTCTACTGAAAATAAAAGGATTCAAGGAAAGTATTTCTTCCGTCTCTTGTTTCTTGCGCTACTTCTCACCAAATGGATCTTCCCGGTTATTTGTCTATTTCTTTTCTTCACTCACTCGGTTAGCTGGGCTTTTTAGTTCATTTTTCTCTTCTTCTCCTGTCAGTGTCACTTGCTCCTCGTGGCGAGACTCCTATGAGGTACCCAGATATCTAAAGTAGGTGAAAGGGTTTACATTAGAATAACGTAAAATACCCCTTGATCTAATGGATGCAGGATTAATATTTTTCATATTTACTTAGAGAACATGATTTACTCACATATCCAAATAGATCCCCTCGGTAACGTATCTCTGAGGTACGACCTTCGACCTTTTACATGCTGGTCGTGATTGGATCCTTGAACATCCGGGAACTAAATATCACGAGGTCTCAAATACTTTCCACCCTCTGATAACGTTCGAATTGCGATTCCTTCAGACAGTCTGAGGCTGGTCCAGCATCTATCCGTCACGTCGTTGGAAATAACGGCCAGAGGCTTTGCCCAAAATGACAAACGCACATTTGGCAATCAGGACCATGCTGTGGAGTAGAAATAAATTTAAGTCTGACCAGGCTGAAGGAATCGACTTGGCCGTTTAGCGGATAACACCAAAAAGGCCAAGAGGGTTGCTTTCCTAACTCGTGGCCATAATCTTGAATTTTAGTGGAGATTCTCTGGGGGCGAATTTCATCCCTCAGCCCTAGCTATACGAGCATATGCTATAGGATGTTATAAATCCTCTTGGAGGAATCGACTTTCTCGATAACACCGGAAAGGACTATAGTAAAGTTAACCAGGTCTGACATTACAAAACTCGAGAGAAGCGAGTATACGAATAAATAAACTGTGTAAAAGCGGCTATTGATCTGGAATCGTGCCAGCGAAGCTCATCGGATATCGGTGGCATGAAAAATAATAACATTTGTATCGGAAACGGACACGTCGATGGAGTTATCGTTCCACCACGTTATCACACAGACTTGGCACATAGCGGCGTACAGTCGACATCCTCTCTACCCATTGTTTGCAAAATCATTCCAGTGTAAATTTTTATCTCAGCAGTTTTCGTGTATACGCTTCGTTAACGGTCCATCTCAACGACTAGTTGGTCTTTATAAATTTCTCAAAGGATCCCCGTAAGAGAGGACAATAATTTTATGATAACCACTCAAATTTCCCAGCATCCTTCACAAAATGCTCTACCAACCATACGGACATATCTGAAACATTATTTTGTCTCTGTAAGAACTGCTGTATAATATTTAAAAAATCCTTCCGCATATATCAATGACAATTTTCATGATAAAATATATATTATAATTCCCGCACCAGGATGAACTGCAATATTTATCAAAATCAAATATCTAATTTTAAATCAGTCTGTGTATTGCTAAAGTATCATAGCGTCATGTATAATTTCAAGGATTTCTTCTCGAATCAATATTCATTTAAATGTATAACAAAGATCATGAGGTTGGAATAGCCTGATCCCATCTAAAATTCATGCGCGACAAATGATTCGCGTATGTAAGCGGACATATGATAAAAAACAATTTTCGGGGGTAAAATTTAGGGGTGGTTTTTATCCCTTTGAAAAATCCTGAAACACCCCAACTGAAATATTTGATGGAGTTAACGGAAACGCTTTTCTTTATTTTTTTGAGCGCATACCCCGGTTTTTATGCAGAAAAAGAGCATAAAAAATATAGTTTTTTCAAAATATAAAATAAGGGTTGCAACCCCTTGGGTCATTAACAAACCTCATATCTTCGACTTCTTATGACAAATATTTTCCACTTGGTTTTATTAAAAAATATTAATTAGAAGTCGAGATATGATGAAAAAACGATTTTCGGGGGTGAATTTCAGGGGTCGTTTTCACCCCTTTAAAGTGGATGTCAGCACAAAAAAAAAAATACGTGTCTCTTATTTTGTCGAGTACTACAACATATCAAAAAATTATTGAAATCGGTGGGGTCGGGTTGGGGGGGTTTCCTTGTAAGTGCTGGTATCAGTAAATCCGCTGGCCATTCTCAGAGCACTGTGGAAACCGCACGGAGATTCTACAAAGTGGCATCATACCAATTGTGAATTACCGTCTGCCATTGGATGCTCAATTCGAAAATCGATGACTGGTTCGTAGTATCGTTCCAAGTAGATATACCCAATATTTAAGTGTACGCAGCCACTTTCGTATAAGCGCCCACACACGTATCCAATCCCATAGAGATGTAAAAGTCACGACTGCGCAGGATGAAATCGGCCATCGCTTCTAGTCGGGTACCTCGTAGGTGGGTGGTAGGTAGATAGCCGGGAGAGTGGTTTGAATTGATACATTCCTGGCGTTAGAATGTTTCCAAAAATACCCTCGGCAATAGACCCTTATTCGATAACCTACAAAATTCATGAATTCAGTATATATGTATATATATATAAATTTATACATCCTTTATATCAACATACGGTACGAGTTGAAATGGCGCCAAAGTAACGGCAGCTGATTGATTGCCGTTAATCATCATCTCCATTTAGCAGCTACCAAAGCGACTAACGAGATGGGAATTCTGCGTGTGGAGGGAGTAAGGAGAATATTTAGAGCATGACATTGGGTTATTCAGGTTCCTGAGTATTGCTTAAGGGTTTCACCATGTTATCCCATAGCTCGAACCAGTGGGTAAATATGGCCGATACCTGGCTATCCTAACTGTTGTGACGTGTAATTCCCTCGGCAGCTTTCTGGTTCAATAAAGCAGCCGTCATACCCAACATGGTAACGCTCTCTTCGTTTCGAGGAATCAGATGTATGAACAATAGCAGGTAATCTTCGATCCTTCGATGAATCCGATACTATACTAGTCAAGTTGAATACTGAATAACGTGAATGTCTCTTCTTAATTTTATATCGAATCTTAATTTCGCTCTAACAGATTACCACTTTAATGCACAGCCCATTACCATTATTGCTATTTGTATCTAGGGAATAATTTACACCAGTCAGTACAGCTCACTCACTGACTAGTCTCTGTTTACTTTAGTCCGCGCCTACACGTTATCCTAGGAGCGCCGGAGCTAAAGTCACGTCGGACGGTAGAATCTCTATTGCAGTTCCATGGGAACGTCACCAGTCGGTAAATTGAACTCGGAGTAGGACAGAGAAAGAATATTCCGACACTGTACGCGATGGATCGTCCAACTGTGTCGCAATCGGAGAGAGGAATCTTTTCAAGAAGATCAATAGATTCAGAACGACTGTAGTGACTTGCGAACTTGCCAAGAGACATATAACCTTACCTGCTGGATTTCAAGCTTCACTAAATACAACTTAGCACAGCCTGCACTTTCTTAATGACTTTTCCATGAGATTTTACCAAACTCTATCTCGGATCTTTGACAGACAGCTGCGTGACTAGGTGGGTAAGTACCTTATAAAGATATCTGCTCAGCTGTTAACTTTTTTAACGACCGTAGATTTTACGTAATTTGTACCTTACAATAAAAACAGTCCTTTCACGTTTGTTTTAACGTGCAAACGAGTACTTTGGAGTTATCCGTAAATCTGACATTTCCTAGTGAAACGGGACACGCCTGTCATAACCTTTTTTCTTTCTAGTAGCTTCGACTATGCTCATAGCGTATTGTTATAATTGTGTACTGTAGATGAAGATATATTTAGGTATCTAGCTTTGCCTGTGCATACACGTTCATTTGATCCTACCAGCTGCTTCTACCGAGGATACCAAGCATATTGAATCAGTCAGGGAATCAACTAGGTACTTACTTGTAAACAGTACGATTCTACATTAACAACGGCCTCGCATAGAATTTCGTGTATGGATCTATACAGCATTGTAAGCTGTTTTAATTTGTTCTCCTCGACAACTATATTTGCTAAGAGTAAACTCGTGAACTTGTAAATGTTGAGTGTACGCGAATTTATCGTCGGTACGAAAATCACAGACTTTGAGTTATTTGGGAAAATTTAAATTTGAGGTTATACCCTATGAAGTCTCACGCCTCAAGAGATCGTCTGTCTTGGAAAGCTTTGCTGTGAGATAAAATATTTTTTTCCTTGACGTAAGAAGGCTAAGGGGAAAAAGGAGGACTGAAGTTAAACCAGTAAAACAAAGGGTAAAGGTCGATGTGCAAGAAAAAAGGGTGGCTTCATCTTAGATGCTTCGAGAAAGCTTGTCAAAGGCTTGGCTATAAATTTGTCATGAGTCTCTACTATGTACGTACCTTGAGAAAATTAGGGAAGGAACGTCACGAAACCACAAAGACGTACGAATAATTTAGTCAGAGGGAAAATATTATTGGAGCGAAAGTGTCTAGAGATTCAGAGAAACGAGCGAGTTGATTTTTCAGCTTAAAATAATTGTTAAGCAGTAGAAAATGACGTGGAAGGTATGATATTATTAGCAAGTACCTCCTTCACCCAAAATATTTCCATTATCGTTTCCCTGTACCACCATCAGCTGGTTTGACCTTTTCAAACGACCTAACCTAAATCCAATATGATTTCCATCTAAAGCCGTACTGGTATGAAATATCGGGCTGAATCGAAACATGAGACATTAACGTGTAATAAACCTAGGTAATAATGAGAATCTTTTCAGAGTGCCAAGCGCTTCGTGAACTATACATATATTCAACGCTAAAAATCCCTATACTGTAAATATACGCATCAGAACTTACAACGTGGATTCGCCAAATGGCTTAAATCACATAAAGCAGCATTTACTTGCTAGGGACTCTCGAATGCAAGGAGTGAAATAAATTTCATATGAAACAGTCCATGCGGTAACGTGATAAGAAATTTTTCCCACTAGGAAAAAAAAACGAGTACAATATCTAGGGTAACCAGAATGAACGTGATTGACGGAATTGTACCAATCCTTAGTTTAACAATGAGAAACGATGCTATCCAAGATGGTCGTGACTGTACGCTTAAAAGGAAACAAAGTTCATGCGAAGTTCAGTCCACGCCTGTTGCTCCGGTTCGTTCAGGTCAGCAGAGGTTATACGTACAGCGTTGTTGATTCCGTGCAGAATCTAGGCTGCAACACTTTGTACACGGAGAAAAAGTATAAATTAATATGCAGAAGAAATTCTGCCATAGTTAAATGTAACATGTTAAGTTGGCACCTGTAGGACTCCTTGAGATTGCTGTCTGATTGCCTGTTGCTCCACTTGGCAGAGTTACCAGAAAAGCCGGAGTGGCGCGCAGCAGCACGGTAGGTACGAACCATTCCAGAGTGCAACAGTTGGGCAACGTCACGGCTGGAACCTTCTCGCCATATTCTATCCCTGAGTATTCCTAACCTAGACTCATTTTACATTTCTAACCTCCTCCAGTCCATTTCGGTATCGACGTCACTAACCTATAGATCTTTTCAACCAATGCATTCATTCATTCAAGCGCGATGTTTATTTTCTATACGTATACATTGGGAGCTCCCATAGTTCCTAGCGTCACGATGCTCGTCCGTCGGCCCGTCACGACGTTGCGTCCTTTCGTTCTCCTGTTAGTCCCTGCACACCCCGCCGATCAATACTCACCTGCTCGAGCACGGTACACGTAGATACGCAGCAGACTGTACATACACGTACAGTTTCATAGAAATCTAACGGTAATGCATAGACACAATAGAGGTATACGCACGTAGCTCGCTTGATACCGGTGGTGAAAATAATTTATGTGACATAAAGAGAAACAGACGAGATATACAAGTGGAAAAGATTTTAGTGATAGGATTTAAGAAATAGAAAGGCATTAAACCTACTGCTTTTACGTTCTCATAAATAATATACGATGTGCACTCTCTTGTATTCACGTAGTAAAAAAAATGGCGGTAGACTGTTACCAAGGGTCATGGCTGTCCGATTACTCGTGGCTATGAGGAACCTCATTGTTGGCTGGGGTGACTTACGTCACTGTGTATTTTTTACTGTATAAGAGTGTATCAGAATTTTTTTATCGTCGCTACGCACCTCGAGGAGACACTATAAAATGGTAGCTTCCCTTAGCGCTTAAGATTCTTGACTCCGGTGGTGGACGAACGGTTACTCCCTGTAAATTGCCTTGATATTGCCAGCGCTCGATGGACATTCTTTCTTATTTGATCCCTCACTCCTTGAGCGTCCCTTTTCTCAGGTATGCCAACCTATTCTCTTACTAAAGGCATTGAATGCCTCTCGCGTATTGCCTTTTGCGTTCTTATATGCTATTTATTTTTTCTTTCTCGCACCTTGGGCTTGTAATTTGTTTACAATATTTATGTTTCTCGTTTGGCCTCAGTATTTATATATTTTTTTATTTTTATCCTCAACACCAAAACCTTTCTCGCGTCACTCGTCCTGTTTACGCACTTGATATTTCTCGATTGAATCGACTTTGCCGACGGAACGTTGCTTCCATTCAATCTCACTGCTATACTTTGGTGCCGTTATCCCTTAGGGGAGATGAATTTTTTATTTTTTATCATCTAACTTGATCAGACACTCAGAGCCATATACTCGCACATATATAATAATTTAGCGGTATATCCTAGCGATATCTTTCCGCGTGAATACACCGTGTTGCGGATACACCTTAAGCGTCAATATCTACACGCCACGTTGGATATATACTCTTTTGCAGGAAATGTCTATAGCCATATTTGATTTACGACCTTTCCTTACGTCACATTTGCAATAAAAGGTCTTAGCCTTTATTTTTTATTACAGAAAAATCGCAGGGATGCCAACTGCGCGAAATTCCTCGAGAAAATCTCTGTACAACGAAAATCGATAATTTATCGATTGCCAATGATGCGAATGGAAAATAATTTTTGTCGTACTTAAAAATTTTTTGTTTTGAAAAAAAAATGTCATCAGGAAGAACTATCGTTTGCCCTTACGTCTCATTTACAGGTTCTACGGAATAACGAATATCGATTTTTATTCTGAATTTAAATATCGTCAATCCCTCTCGGTACGTGGGGGACGCGGAAAATGAATTTTCCTTCTTACTATCACCGAAACCCTTATCACAACCACTCACGGATAATTAGTTAGAGATCGATCATCTTCGCGGGTGTGTCGCTTGCACGAGCGCCCTCATAAGAATAAGGCGATTGATCCCATTTTCAAATAATAAGGAAGCACGATCGACCCAGCCCAAAGGCAAGTACAACCCTACGGGACATTGACAGATGTAGAGTGATTGTGAAATCGTATTATCATTTAGTTCGTCCGATTAGAAAGATTGAGAAAATAATGAAATTTTGAAAATTTTTTTGAACCCACTCTCCCAACCCTTGTCACTATAGACAGAGGCACGACGGAGTGGCGTAAAAAAGGCGAAAACAAATATTTACCAAAAAAGATATTATTTTGAAAATTTTGGAAAAGTGACATGACACAAATTGATGTCCTTCATACTTCACCATGTATCCTTGTATACACCTGATACTCATTCCCTGTCCTGGGACTAGGGTTGACGCCAATGCATCGATAACATACTCGACAAGAGTGCCTTTCCGAGGCTAGTGAGTACATTGACATCTGATTTCTTAGTAAACTTACATTTGTGTATTCGTATCACGTAGTACAGACAGACTATACGGGGTGAAGCGTTTAAATCGAGACTGTCAAATAACTTAAGAATAAAGTCTTATATGAAAAAAATGTTTTATGGGTTTAAGGGAGCAACGGAATAGCCCACTTTAATTGAAAACCTCCATCAATAAAATTGAAGTAGGCCATTCTATCGAACCCATACAAATTTTGTCTCAACCATTTTTTTTTGTCATATAAGACCTTCTTAAGGTATTTGAGATTCTCGATTTAAATGCTTCATCCTGTAGATTGAGACTCGTATGAATGACAGGAAGTCAGACCAGAACTCTTTATTAAGTTCCGTGCGAGAAATTAGCAAATAATTTTGCTTTTTGTATGTACATTATATATATAGGGTGTCCCAAGCTTGCTTTACTAATTATACTCTTTTTTTGTCTATGTACAAATGTGTATACATATATTTCTTTTTAATATCCAAAGTCTCAAAGACACTTGATACGGATTTAGCCATGTTCTTTGTTCTTCTCTTTTTTCAGTTCTCCGTAGCTCCCCTAGGTGGCTACCTATTCCATTCATCTTGAAACGATCTCGCCGGTGCCTACTACCACTAAGCTTTCAGACTTTTGCACACTCGATAGGCCTACAAAGAGACAGCTGTGTGTATCCATAGCTAGCTCAACAGGTAGCTCTCTGAAACTACCTCGATAAGCTATCCGAGATATGCATATGAATGCAAGAGTCTACAGAGATTATTAATAACAAGTTTAAGAGAAATAATGGAGTAAATATACGTAATATCTATTAAGAATAGATATATGACTAGGTTATGTTTCTCGGGGAATATTTATTATATGGCTAAAAGTCATTAACGTTACCCTTTGATGTCATCTATGAGAAAAATAAATCATTCAATATTTATAGAGGACGAGTGTCGCGAAAATTAGAAAGTTAAACGATTTATTTTCTTTTTTACATATTAAAAGTGTTCTCGAACGAATCTTGTTGATCTACGCCATCGTTGCTTATTCTCCGGCCGATAAATCTATTTACTCAACGCTTACACAGGGATTTACGTTCAGCCTGGAGGTATGTACAGATAACCCTGGTTTTGTAACCCCTTTGGATATACGTGTAGTTTCGCGAACCGATGTCAACAAGGCCTGGAGAATGAGGTTTGTACAAGTGGAGAGTTTCGTATATATATCGAGTGGTGACAGACGTTGAATATTCATAGCGTAAATCGTTTCGCGTTTAATTGCATGATATTCGGTGAGTAACGATAGTACAGCTTATATAATAAAGATATAAAAGTAAGGTATACGTAAATAAAAATTATATATTATTTATCAATAATTTAGTGAGGCACGCATACGATGTAATTCCTTTGACAATGACGCCTGATTCAAATGTTGTTTTGGCTGGGGACTACGCTGGTCATGCTAAGGTTTCTTTTGAACAATGCAGTCACCTAACGACGTAAAAATACGTTGGACGTGCGCGTTTAAATTCCCGTCTAAAGTGGTCCGAAGATTGTGGTGAATCCTTGGCAAGCTGCTGCATTCTCGTTTAAATCCTCTCTATTGAAATCCGTTGGTAGAGAATGTCGATACAAGCTGTGCGGAGTTTCCGTACGACAAGTTTTCTCCGTCGGAACTAATTCACCCAGTGCCGTATCGACTAGGAGTTCTCCCTTCTCGTAACTTTGCACAGTTTCGCATTCATTGTCGCTCACGGTACGATTCCTTATCTGGAAGGAGTCCTGTACTTCTTCTACCTCTTTGCTAGGTACGCCAGATTTGAATTCTCGATGCATCTTGGTGCATCCTCCGGTCGTACTCGATTCGTAGGATTCGTCGATATTCAAAGTGGAATCAGGATTCGGAGAGTGGGCTACTGTGAAAGTCCTTCGTGTATCTTGGCTCCTGAAGGATTCTGGTGACGAGACAGTATTACTAAATCCATTTACCAGCTTCAAGTCTGGGATTGTACTTCGGTATGAATTTAGGTTATGTTTCAGCATAAACGTCTCCGGCGTGGCGCTGCGATCGATTTTTGAAAATGAGCAGTCTTTTTCACATGAATCTACCACGTAAGTTTTTCCTGTATATTTACTATCTGACGTATCAGGACTGTCTGCTTCTCTTCGAAGGATCCGAGTCCTGCCGGTGTCTGGATGATATGGATCTTCACTGATTGGACTTAGCTGAGTGGACGATATGGATTGTTCGGAAATGCTTCTAGAAGCTTCGAGATCCTTCGTTTCGTTCATGAAGCTTCCCTTTGAGACTCTCGCTTCGGTAGGCAGCTTCGTTCTCATTGGTAAAGACGAGCATTCGACCTCTTCCCTTTCTACTTTCTCCCTCGAGCAAACCAATCCTTTGGCTGCACGAAAGTCAGTTGAAATATCCAGGCTCTCTCGAAATCGCGAGGACAGTTTACTCTTCCGTGAAGAGCTCGACTTTTCTTCTGTTACTGCCAGGAATTGATTTTCCCTCTCAACGTTGCTCCTCCTGCGCAACTTCCTGAGGCGTTCGCGGCTTCCGTTGCGCCGTTGACCCGCCAGACTTCTCAGTGCAGACGACACCCGACTAATAAGATCTCGGATGTAAGACAACGTCGGCGTGTCACCCTCCTCCTCGGTGATCCTCGCGGACACCCTCAGGACTTCCAGAGCCTCGGCAAACCTTCCCAGCTTGATTAGAGCCTGGCCGCATAATAGTTTACCATGGAGCAACCATTTTTTGGAATTCGACGCACGTGCCGATTTCAAACATTCGCGAGACACTAAGAAAGCTTCATTATGTCTTCCCATTTCCAGGTAACACCGTCCTATCTCGTGCTGAAGCCACGCTCTGGGAAGGGACTCCTGGATATCGTGAACGAGTCTCTCCCAGGCACGAGCCACCGCGTCCAGGTGTCCAAAGGCCAGGTGAACCTTACCCAAGGTAACGAATGACTGTGCCCTGAGGATGATGTCTCCGGACATCTTCGCCGAGTAAATCATCCTGGACACCTGGCCAATGGCACGATCGTGACGTCCCATGGATATATAAGTCAGGGCGATGCACCTATGAGCCGTCACTCTGTGTCTATGAGGATTCTCTAGAGCAGCAGCTAGCACGAGTAATTCTTCTCCTATTCTCAAGGTCGCGTTTACATTGCCCGCACGGAAGGAAGCCTCCAGATTCTTGGAGGACAGGCTGGCAAGGCTGGTAAGCTGCCTCAGCATTATCCTGGAGCGCGCCAGCTTCACAGGTAACTCCCTGTCGGACTCCGTCGGCATCCTCCAGAAATCCTTACGATAATCGAAATACTGGAATATCTGGGATACGATCGACGAAGGATTCGGGGATTCCCTCAGGATAGTCAAGGCTCTCAATGCTGCGGATTCTGGACAGAGAACAGCCGCGAGTTCAGATCCGTTTCTGACTTTGGGTAAGAGACTCTTCAAGGCTCTCGATGGGTTCGTGGCTGAGGTTATGGCTGCCGATGTTCTTTGTGCTGCCACCGCGTGGCTAATGTCACGGGGATAGGCACGAGCTGCTCTGTGGTACAGTATCAAGGCTGTCTCGTAGTTCCCATTATGATGCAAGCTGTCCGCCTCCTGGTGAAGTGCCTCGGCGAATTGCTTGTTGGTACCTTTCAAAATTTTAGAACCTCCTCTCCGCTGACGAGCTCTGGCACGTGCTTCCGCTTTCTCTATCACGTCTCTGGTCTCCTCCCCGTCGGTGTCCTCAAAATCACAAGGTAAATCTACTTCCGGAAGGCTCGCGAACGAATGACCTTTGACTTTGCTATTTGACAGGATAGCGGACATGTCAGAGCATTCATGGCAGCCGAACGGACGCAAATTGAATGACGACTGTTGCTGTTGTGGAAACAAAGTAAAGCCAGGAAATGAGACTGGGGCTGCTATTTGCTACCGAATCTCGTCCTAGCGCAGCATCGGGAAGGAATTTTCACGTTTTCGAAGATAAAGGATTTTCTCGTGGAAAACCGAAGAATACATTTTCACTGGAGAAAACGAGCTGACCGCACGTGGCGCTTCTCATTGTTTTCGCTTGGTCGCTGGAATTACACTTTTCGGCCAGTCGGACCACCAAGCTGCGTGACAGACAGCCACGCTAGCGAACAGGAAGCGACTACCTACTCTTTAATGGATCTTCATAATTTCTACATCGCTCAGAAGCACCTTCGATGTGGCGCCTGTTCACTGAAAGAACCCTCAACCACGTAGTCGGAGTTTTAATATTTTTAGGACATGCATTGCGTAGGCTCTCAAACGTTCAGGATACACAATTAAGATAGCTATAGGATACCGTTTAACCAATCATCACAGTAAACCGATTATTCGTACTCTTCAAAGTTTACCCAGCCAAGAATCTTTTTCGAAGGCGCGTATTGCTTCAGCACTGCTGCTCTGGCTTCCTTCTCGGGATTCTTGGGTGGGTCGGGAAGGATAGTGTTCCGCTTGCAGGATAACTTGTACTTGTGATTAATGGGCTTGCATCCCGGCATCACCGTCAGTCTTCTACGTGCAGGCACCACGTTCATGCTTCTCAGGAGGAAGTCTACGTTGGTATATAATTCCGAAGGCATCAGATCTAGGATCAGTTGCTCTCTGGTCTCTATACTATCCAGACCAGTTATTTTTTCAAAATCCAAGTCGTCCACCAGCTTTATTGATCTTTTATAAAAATCAACTAGATAATCGATCCCCAGTCTCTTAGAATTTAGCAGAGCCAGCTGCGCAGCCTCGCGAGCTTCATTGCGATTGTTTTGATCTAATTCGATTCTTATCAGAACGTGATTAGCGTTTACGGTCCATTGATGAATTTCAGCCTCGTTGCTGACGTCACGAGCCTTCTTAGCATAGAAACGGGCCAGGTCGTAGCGTCGTGTTTCTGTGAGAAGCTTAGCCAACTCGTGAAACAACCAAGAAAGTTCTAATGGCTCCGAAGCGAGTGCTAATCTTTTACGAAATGTCTTAAGGGCGGTTTTCCTGTTCAACGTTGGCACCCAGCCCAGCTCACAATCTCGTGGCAATTTAGCCACTCGTATACCCAGATGATGCTTAAGATAAAGCAGCTTGATACTCTCGTCCTTGAAGCACGTTAAATTCCTCGTGTCTAGGTAAGCCCAACTGGCCATCTTGTAAATGGCGTTTAAACACCTTTGTTTCAGGGGGAACATGTTGTCTGAATAGGACTCGAAGACGTCTTTCGCACGGCTCACATAGTTGAAGAACAGTGGGTAATCTTGGGACATTCTCGCTCTGTGAGCCTCCATTAAAATAAAATCAGCCTCTATCACGATATTGTATCGCCTGAGCTGCCTTTCGTGCGCCATTTGCTCTTTATGGCCAGGTGACCTGGCGTTACGTAAGAAACGGAAGACGTAAAAGGGTTTGCGTATACGCAGCACTTCCTGTCGGTAACAAGTTCTCGTATACGAGCTGTCCGCCAAGTTATACAGGTCCTGGCTACCCTTTGTGTTCGCTGACCACACGTTCGGATTCTCAAGAACGTTCTCCAGGAAGTATCTGTCCTTTGCGCCATGGCCCAGGTACGTTTTAGCCATGACTCTGTGTAGCTTCCTCAAAAACAATTCCAGCTTGGTGTTCGGATCGTTCACTTTGAACCTGGAATGCTCGTCGTCGATTCCTAAAATATTAATATGTATTTTTTTTTTCTTTTTCTCTTAGAAGCCTCGCCGCGTACCTTCAAATTCATCCTCCTCCTCGTCCAGCTTCGCTATCAGGATCTTTCGCTGCTCCTGGACATTCTTGATCCATGGATACAGCTCCATGAGGAGCCTGGCTGAGGTGTTTCTGCCCACGCAATCTTCCGCGGTCTCATTACCCTGGAAGACACCCCATTCGAAGGGATATCTCTTGTGGGTCATACCCTGGTGCGCGTGGACCAGACTGTAGTCGAATTCTGCTATTTGAAATAGAGTCTCGACGCGTCGCCATTTGACGCGGTAATTCTGTGGGTCTGAAATGGTCAAACAGAGCAGGTTAATGAGAATCCTCATGGGAGCAGAATCGATTTGACCGCTAAGAGTCACGTGCGAGGGTCGTTATTTGCCGGAGGGTGGCTCAAGATTTTAATCATGTACGTGACCGATTACAGCTCGGAACGAAGAGGACTTGATTCATAGCGAGTACGTGTGGATAACGGAAATGACGTAATAATTGATTTAATCGATCAACGCGATCGCACGTGGTTTTAACTTTTATTATAATTTACTGTCAATTATATTTTTAAACTTACCTATTTCCATGCACTTGTCCGCCATCTGCGCTGCATCGGGGTACCTCGTGAATTTACTCAAGGCTCTACTCCATCCTATGAGGGTTCTGATGTCCTCGGTTTCCGCCTCTTCTACGGACTTCTTAAAGGCACTTATGGCGCTGGCGTACCTGGCCTGATTGGTAAAGCGATAGCCCCATTCCCGATACAGTTTCGGACCCCCGAAAACTACGAGCTTCTCCTCGTTCTTCATCCTTGCCCCGACTTAATGGTCTTGACTCCTGAATGGCTTGGATATTCGTATGAATAATTTCATGGGAATTCGCTGCGCTCACGTTGCCACAGAATATTTAGGTCAATGGTACTTCCTTTTGCAGCTGGCGGTAATCACTGACTAATTTAAATAATTCCCATTAGAATGAAACCTTATCAGCATTTTCTTTACATTTTTCTGCGTCCCATTTTTTTTTCTTTATAACCTCTCAATTTACTATGGTCCTACTGAACTAGTCATTGGTACGTTCGATTAATCGCATTACTCACAATTCAAACTCGTTATCTACCGACTTCCCTCGCGTGTAACCGTCACGTCAGGTTTCACTGCTATCAAAGGTGGTTCAGTAACGATATAAAACTGAACCTAGGTCACGTTAACCTATAAACGATATCCGACTGGGTTATCTTGGAATGTAGTGTAACGTGCGTAGTTCGTGCGTACACCACTTATCCTGACCCTTGTCCGCCGACCGAAAAGGCCTGTGTTTATATACGTTTATATAGGTGTATACAGTGTCAATTATATTAAAGAATGTTTTTCGAACACGCGATTCATACAGTCTTACCAAAGTACGTTATTTATAAAAGAATTCCATTATTTTGCAGGGTTCTACTCAAGAACTTCGAGAGGTTAGGTTCGTGTGGTCAAGAACCATCTAAGGGGATCCTCGGGATGCGGTGATGGCTCTGCTGTACAGATTCACGCAGCTGCCAGACCGCGGTGGCACGCGAGTCTTTTCCTTCGTCGTGACACGTAGCGTCGTTCGAGATCCTGAGAGAGACGTAACCAGCAAGGAACTCGTGTGTGGTTTTCAAAGATGGGCCGTGGCATTTTCACGCGGAGACAAGGTAACGGGTCATATGATTTTTCTTTTAAATTTTCAACCTTTTATATCTCGGATACTCTACATGAATTTAAATTTTTTGAGTTTCATGCTATATATATATATATATATATGTATGAATATCTTGTGCAAGGTCTTGGGTGTCTACTTGGTATGGCGCGGTGCGGCACCTGGTCTTCGCGTTTACGTGGACTTCACGTTCACCCTCCTTAATCGCGAACACTTCTCCGTGAACGAGGGCTTCTCCGGGAAGCGAGTAAAGTTCACGTACGACGCCCCGGCTCAGGGAAACAGGAACTACATACCAGTCTCGGATTTGTACAGCAGGAATTTCGCTGATCCTAATGGAGAGTTTCAGCTGGAGCTCTCAATGGCGAATGTGAGGACCGTTTATACGGATGAAGTGAGGATGCCCACTGGAGTCTTCACGGCAGGTCAATCCAAGCCAAACAAACTGGAGACGGGATACTTTACCTTTGGTGGTTTCGATTGGAATCTGACGATCTACCCGTTTGGCAATAAGGAAGGTGAAGCTCGCCAGGAAGGAAGACTCAGTGTCTACTTAGTGAGGCTCACTGGATTTGATCACCGTTGTAGAGTACGATATAGCATTGCTCTAGGAGAAGGCGATAGAAGAATAGAATCTGGACACATAGAGGACCTATCGGATGCAGAGGGTCGTGGATTCGGATGGCATCCAAGGTTGCGCTGGTCTGAAATAGCTCACAAGGGGGTCGTTCGAGTGTCTCTTGAGATGGTGGAGGCTCGCACGATATCTGAGGTCGCAGTTCAAGCTCTTGGACCTTCGGTGTTACCAGCTGCGCCCTGCTACGACCGGGACAAGCAAGCTTGGGCCATACGAGCTGATCTGCATTCAGATACCATCAGATTACACCTGGTGTACAAAGATATTCATAACGTACCGAGGAATCATCTCAGATACGTCAGCTGGTCTGCTTATCTCATGAGAGGAGAAGAACCGGATATGGAAGCTGCCGGTTTGCCTGGTGCTCCTTTCTCTAGATATTACGCTCAGGAACCTGCTGACGAAGGTATCATCATGGAGACCAGTCTAGGTGTAACGGAAGTCAAGGACGATCAGTGCCCCTTTCTTACTGATAAGGGTCAGTTGAGGGTCAGGCTTGAATGGAACGAGAGCCATCTTCTCTTCCAAGCTACTTACCACAAGTACGATGATGTCTGCAGAGTGCATAACCAGCAGATGCGCCGCGAAATCGCTGCACTTCAAGCTGAGAATTACTCCCTTGAGAGGCAGCTATTCAGCTATCAGAAGAGTCTGGCCTATGCTCAAGCACAGCAACAGAGTCAGCAGCAAGGCCCCGGAGGTCATCTTGAGCGATCCGCGTCAACCGATACGGAATATGCCTGACAAGTGCTACCGGAAGTCAGTAAAATCAATGAAGTCAGGCGTCAAACTCTTGGGATCGCAGAGAGCGATCAGCGAGTCCATCAGAACCTGGTGAAGCTCATGGACCGACGACTCAGCAACGTACAGTCGCGACGGAGTGACGCCTCCCTGAGCGGAAGTGGATCACCAAGGCCAAGTATACTGTCATCGAGTATCATTAGCGATCAGCATCATAATCAGACTCAGAGCATCGTCCAGTCGCCAAAATATCGTGAGTCTGTTGGCAGCCTCGAGCGTCAGAAGGTTCGTGAAAATGGCGGGCCTGGTAGCGGATTCTATGGAGCGAGTCAACCCCAGAAGAGACGAAGATCTACCCTCTGGGAAACTCTCACCGGATTGGTCTGTTCTCTGGGAGCTTTGGCTTCAAGGGCGGCCAAGATGGCTGCCCGGCGGGGCGATCCTCTTTGAATCGGGAGGACGATCCTCTCTTGCACCTGTGCTTCGTAGATGAATGGTATCAAGTATCGAACAGTTAGTTTAGTTTATTAGATAATATATACAGCGTTAGTGTAACCACGTATGGACTTGATCGTGATAAGGAACTCCAGGATGAGGTGACTCGACTCCCACTTGCTCGTTAGGAACTCGATAACCTAGTGGACTCGACCACCAGAGTATTGAATATTTCTGAGGAACTTTTGACCAATCAGTAACAGCATTCCGATTCATGTCCATCCATTGGTCAGTAATAGTGTCCACGGTTCACGAAGAACTGACACGTTATTCTTATTGGTGATTTAGAAACTTAGAAAATGATACTAGCGAGTAGATGTAAGAAACGCCTGAGGTACAATACGTTCCTCCATTGACTCTACACCTATATCTACTTGTCAATTCACTAAAGAACTTATTTTCCTCTAAAAAAAGACTTTTTCACCTATTATACTAGTTGTTCATGTAAAAAAAAAAAAAACCTTAAGCGACATCTTAGTATCTAGAGCATCGGTGTTAGGAGTGGGTACAAGAGAGACTCGTTCCTCCTATTTTCGGAGTATTTAACGCGCGGTAATTAACAATACTCTTTATTAATGAAAAATAAAAGACGCCGCATTGCCGTCGCTCTTACTAATTCCGTTTGTAAGTCTGACAAATCAGGGTATAAAGAAACATCATTTTCATCGATTAATAATAAATAGATGCGTATATTTTAATGAGAAGAAAGAATGAGAATATCAAGGTCATCGCTGTAACGTACAAATTTGTTTCATCCCTCCAACAGAAGAATGGATACACTTAAAGCCTATAACACTATTCAAATATCACTACTGCCTCCTACTCGCATCCAATTTATCAAAAGCTAACATGAATTCTCAGATTAAAGTGTCAGGAAGAAAAACAATAATAATAATTGAGCGATAAGTATCAATGACGTTTCGTTAAATACTCCGAGCATTATAAATATAAGAAATTGTAATTCGCGCCATACATCCCTTCTCTGATTAGCAGAGCTGTATACTTTGTATATACCTGTACTAAATACTATATACGCGGTAGTCGAAAATGTCACGGACGTCATCCTCGCGAGGCTACCTAACCTCTTTGACATATTGCTTGCGAAAAGAATTCACTTCGGCAATAATCGGGTTCGTTCGTTGCTGTTCGATAATCGCGGGAAACCTTGTACCTATAAACGATATTTACAATAACAAGAAACAACATGTATACACTTTAACATTACGTCCTGCTTGTACAATCCACATATTTTTATTATTTTTATTACTGCTATTATTATTCTTATACACGACAATTTTTCGAATATTTTCATTGCCTGTACACGCATGCGTGCATATTAATTCATACGCGCATATTCTATTACCATTCGTCGTATTACTATTAATATTATATTCGTAAAATTAAAAAAAAAGAAAAAGAGGAACACCCTCTGACATTCACTACTTAAGTGTAACGAGACAAATCAATTTTTAGGTAATACGTTCTTTCGTCTAAGATTCTTCCTACGCACTGCTGTAAGCGTAGTGGCTCTGACAATCCCACTTTGACTTTACACGCATCAGCTCTAAATACATACACAGACAAGCACAAAATTATTGCACCCATCGTAAACTCTCTACACAGTTAACACGAAGAAGCGCACAACACTTTAGGGTAAATTACTTCATTTCAACAATTTCATGTTTTTTTTCCTTTTTTTTTTCATTTATAGATACACTTTTTTAACCACTTGAAGTCTTCCAGACGTTCAGCTATCTACGGTTCACAATTATTTTGCACGTTCGATTGCATGCACACTGTGGTATAAAAATTGTCACAAGACAGTTTTTCCCCGCATAAATACCGACTAGTATCGAAATGTACCAGGGTAAGTGGTTTATGGCGGAACTTGTTTACGTTATTTGAAAATGGACTAACCGTCACTTGCCTACAGAGCTAGTCAAGCTTCATGCTCGCGTACGGTATCACGTGTCTAATTCTCTGAAAGTGCTTGGCTCGCATATTTACTTGAAAAAAGTCACCCTCTGCTCAGTGAAATGTGATGATTACGAGAAAAGAATTTCAAGAGCCTTACGATTCTTTTTACTTCTGTTTTTATATACTCCCCGCGTACTTTGTGCTTGTTTTATATTTTCGGACAACGGTCTAAACACACGTAACACGTATTTGTATAGTACAATGTCAGATTAACCTAACCATAAAGTAACTTAGAATATATATATACTCGCAGAGGACAAATTGATTTATTATCCAATGCATTCCGTTATTGGCATTCTTGAAGCATCGTTGAATATGTATTACGTGTCAGATATTCCCTTTTTCTACATAAATGGAAAACTTGCTGAAACACAAGTATCCAATGTATTTCCCATGTCAATTGGTTCTATCGCATTAAAATTTATAACCTGTACTTCTCGGTAATGCTTTTCGCCCTTACACAAGTAGCTTTAGCAGAATATCTGCAGGAACATTCGACGTATGTACATTCTTTACTTATCTGTCAATCTACATATGTATACGTTGCCCACTGTAGTACGTAATACCACGTAGTTACATCTTTTTTAATAACACGGAATCTCGCGTGCGAATATTTTCAAAAATTTTGTTTCACCTTATCATATACAAACGTTATGCAATCGGTATCTTTCAGAGAATTATTATCGCACGAGTACCAGTTGTGTAGTACAAATATTTATGTATTGCGCACATAACGCAAATGTTATACAGTTTTTTATTGACGTTCTTTGCGTTTCTTTATATCTGCGATATCCATATATGACATTACAAATACAAAGTTCAGTAAAGCTCTGTATGACGCAATTAAATTTATTGGAAAATTCGACAATTATTATTGTTCGTATGTCACCCTATACAATATATCAAGGATATGTTGTATCATTCTAATGAAAATATTGCTTTTGCGGATTTTTTGGTTTCTACAAGCTCAAACCTGTAATATGATTGTATATTGTAACAATGGGAAACAAGCCGAGGTTCGAGTATGATATTTTCTCAAGAAAAGGAGCTACGGGATTTGTTGAATCCCGTTGAAAAGGAAAATGCTCCACAGTGTACTTCAGCTCGTTAGGTTCTCTCTCTCGATTGTTCGATTTATTTGATATTTTGCAAATTGGGTTAATATGGTATTTAGTTTATCTATCTGCTATGTTTATCTATTCTCTTGCTCTCTTTGTTTCCCATTCCGACATTTTTCTGTTAATACGAAACACAAACACGCTCGCAAGAGTTTTGAGATGTATACTATGATATACTTAAACCATCTGTGAGTCTGCCTCGTCTTTTATAAAATTCTTGCTATATTCATGAGTTGTTTTTACTTCGACCACATTATCCTGCTATCCTGCGTCGTCCATTTTCAGAAAAAAAATTAACTTCGTTTTTCCTGGAATTCTTACATGTCACGACATGAAAAATAATATCGCCTTTAATAAAACTAATATGCGCGGACCTAGGGGTTGAAACCCCTGGAACTGAAAGGCTCGTGATGTCTTTAAGAAAAATATTGGAGCGCCAGTTTGCTGCGAGGGGTGTTAAATAGTTCTCAATAAACAAACGTCGTTGATAATTTAACAAGATAAGAACAAAATTTTGTCGATAAAAGTTTTACTTATTTATTACTTCCCTTCTTTTATTTAATGTCTCTTCGTTTAATAAAAAGTAATTTCACGATACTATCGAAAAATCTCGAATGATCGTTCTACATTTCTACGATACCGGTGAGCTATCAGTACTGTCTATATCATATCAGTCTGTATGTAAGTATACTGCTTCGAATGAAAATTCCGAGATCTCAGTTGGACCATCGAGGGGCTGTAGCTTTCTTTTGGAGAGGTAAGTCCTCAGGAAAATTGAGAAAATCGATATAATAACTGGAAGTAATAGTTATGAATCCTAACGCTTTCGCTCCTTTGAGTAGCAATTATCGTTATTTTAATATCGTTTAAAGAGATCTTGTATACGTTTTAAACGATGCCTGAGAGGTCGAAAATAGTGCTTAAGTGAAATAAAATTGTGTTCATTAGACAGACCTTCGAACGCTTATTAAACATCCATTACAGCATTTTGTAGTATACGCATCGATCAACAGTTTACCATCGGTCGTTCATAACCTCATTTACAGTAAAAAAATACGCCTGAGATATAAGAAACTTTATTAGAAATATTAAAATAGAAAATTATAGCATGCCTACAACCCTTAAAAAGAAGTCAATAGTAACATATAATTATTATGCAACACGTCACTTTTTTAATTATCCTTAATCAATGATAGAATTAAAGTCTATCAGATAAATTTATAAAAAGGGTGATAAAGTAGATATATTTATTCTGAAGAATTATCATCTTTCAAAGAGTAAATGTATTAGTTGAAATGTTTAATTTAAATGCTGCCAATACGATTACGTATAGATAAATTCTTGCTTCTCCTGTATCAGTAATCAGTTGCTAGAATTGCCTGACGGGTCCAAAAAGATACGGTTTTATAATATAGGAATCACATTTCAACCGATAGTCAGTCTCTGACTGCCAGTAGAGCTGTGTAACTACAACAATTCTACTGAGTACTAGAACATCAATCTGAACAAAATATTTTGCACAAGCTATCGATCATGATCAGCTGATTGGTGGATAAAACTGTGTAGAATATAGTGCGAAGTAGAAACGAATGGGGACAGGTCGAACAGTTCAGTGAGTCGGTAACTCAGCTGAGTGGAGAATCTGGCAGTGTTTCGCCACGCATGCGTTGAATGTGTACGGACGTTTTTACTAGTGACGCGCAGACGTACTTCCGTTAATGATTGCAGGTTATACGTGTTCTTGGAACACGTAACAGAAGGCACACAAGACTTCAGTACTTTAACGTTGCAAATGTCATTGTAAATACACAAATTCCCTGTGATTAGCAGATATTCATTTGTAACGATACATTCCTTGTGGACGATTCAGGCTGCATCTCTATCTTTTATACGAAGTGCCTTTAACCTCGATAGCATACCTTTCTGCATGTTGCTAATATCTGCTGGTCTTAGAAGGAAAAGAAATGTATATATTGAAATTTGACCGGATTGTTGGATAGTTCTGTATGTATTTAAAAAACTTTACGAGGATAGTGAGAATCTTTTACTACATTCATACGGTACCGTCGAGTGAAATTTTTTGTGCGAACACAAGTAAAACGTTTTGTTGAAATAATTGCCTTTCGAATGGTTGCAATTACATTGTTAAGCGATTACAGTTGCCGGGAAAAGAGCTGATGATCGGAAGAATTCCTACATTAAACGTAAATCGGGCGAGCTATGTGATGCTAGTGTTCTATTAAAATAATCATTGACGGAAGCAAATTAAATGATAATTTTGTGTTCCTAAGGAGTTATTTAAACGGAGACATAAAGAAGAAATAAATACAAGATGACGTTGACCCAACGATTCAGCAACAGGCGTCTTCTTGTCGATGGTCTGGCTTTGATGTTCGGAGTCGGTGCTTGGATGGGTGTTAACGGCATTTATGTACAACTACCCTTATTGGTAAATACGGCTCCGGAGGGATGGAGTCTACCTGCGTATATGGTGATGCTGGTTCAAGTTGCCAATTTGGGTCCGGTTTTGTACTCTTTGTATGCCAAGTAAGTGCCAGACGTATTTTATCATCTTTTTGATTCATATTATAATTGGAATGGTCATGATTCAGCAGCTGTTTAACGCTCTCTGTAGCGAAAGTGTAGAACCTTTTTTATCTACCTACATGATAGCTTGTTGCGGCGGGAAGATAATTTTAAAGGTGTGCAAATATATTGTATGACGACTGAAAAAGCTTGATATTAAAGTTTTTCTATTTCTTATGTCTTCATAGTGTCATAGTTATGCAACTATCTGAGAAAGACAGTTTTTGTGATAATAATGTTATTCTAATCGTTTGATAGTAGAAGTGATAGAAATTTATGTCAATTAGGATTAACATATCAAGGTGGCATTTTATGCATTTGAGGGTTTATGATGATAATGGAGTATGAAAATGTTGTGTCTTCTATACTGTATGCTTAGTCAAGTGTGTTTAATTACTGGATTCGTAATCCTATATTATATTATGTCGATACATACTCATGACTAAGAAAATGCAATTCAATGTACAAGTATAGTTTTTATTCATATTGTCTATAATATATAGCAAAGCATTAGTGAGACTAATTAATCTTATGCTGTCAAGTTTTTTATTCGAGGATGTATCATATTTTTCCATCATGGTAATTTGCTTCGTCATTTTCATGATTATTTTAATAAAAAGTTTCTATATTTTAGGTATGCAGCGGCACCACAAGATAGCCTTATAATTTACACACTGCTGGGAGCATCCACAATAGCAACATTTACACTGGCCTTTATTTATCAGAAGACATCAATGATATTCAATGCGGAATACTCAACAGCTCTTCTGGGTCTAATGTTTGTTACGGCAGTTGTTGGCTGTACTAGCTCCGTTTTATTCATGCCCTTCATGCGTAACTATCGTGAAATTTACCTCGTATCCTATCTAGTAGGAGAAGGTCTTAGTGGTTTTCTGCCAAGCGTCGTAGCTCTAATACAAGGAGTAGGAGGAAACCCAGAATGCATAAACTCTACCTCACCAGATTCAGATGTAATCGAAATCACTACATATTATCCCGAACCAAGATTTTCAACGCAAGCTTTCTTTATATTTCTCAGTATTGTATTATTCATGAGTTTCACCTCATTCATAGCTTTGACAAAAACTTCCATGGCTCGGAGAGAGCTAGTTAAGCCTCCTGGAAGTACTGAAACACTACCTACAGATACAAGTGCGTTACCAACCTATAAGACTTCATCGGGCTGGACTATGGCCATGAGAACTTATGTCTACCTCTTAATTATGATGTCTATCGTTAGCTGTTTAGGTAATGCCGCTCTTGCCAGTATACAATCTTATTCATGTTTGCCATATGGAAATGTAGTGTATCATTTAACTGTAACTCTAGGATCAATGGCAGGTCCGTTGGCTATGTGTTTAGGTTTTGTCATCAAGAACCCAAAAATTCATGTACTTAGTTGGCTAACAGTGCTGATACTAGCACTTTCAGCTTACTTATTTTATTTAGCTCTGCAATCTCCATCGCCACCATTTCAAAATACTTGGTATGGTGAATTTCTAGTTGTAATATCCTGGATATTAGTTAATGGTTTGATAGGATTTGTCAAAATGGGTATCACTACACTTTTTAGACCAGACCCTGGTAGAGGTCTTTTTTACACTGGTGTAGCTACACAAATAGGTTCAGTCTGCGGTGCAATTACTACTTTCGTTATGGTCAATATTTTAAACATGTTCCAATCCTATTCTCCATGTGTATGATATTAGGAAATCCTTTAAAATTATGTAGCTAGTGTAATATTAATAATTTGTGATGATGGTATCGCAAGCCATGTTGTGATATTGTCAGAGAAAAGGAAAATTCTTTTGGTACAAGAGCTTTAATTTTAATGAATATGTTCTTAAAATTATAGATACCAATAGGTCTCTTGTCAACCATTGGGATTAGCGGCGTGGCACTGCTGCTCTTTTATTCATCATAATTTGACAAACGTTCACTTCATGACAATTGTGAATAGTCGTATCAATTTAAAGTCGCTTGACAGTGTCAAGAGTGCAATCAGTAGTCTCGTTCGTGTGCTCTTAATCACTTCAGTTCAATGACGTCCATAGGGATCAATTTGCTATTTTTACTTAACATCCATTCCAACGAATAGTGCAGATTTATTGCGACTGTATTACGGATTAAAATTGAAAAATTGACACTTTTCCTGCAAATTATTTCTTGGGACACAAATCCTCGCTATACAGTTACCGTTAACCATATGGAATAGTTTTACGTCTCGAATGACGAGAGAATTTGGTATGTACTTACGGATTGTAATGTAGATATTTCGACCTATATTCGTATTTAGTTAGATTACTGTCACACTGTAGATAAGGGCCAAATACTGTAACTTCATTTTATAACCATAACGTTTCGTCATATATCTATCATATCTTTCAGCTGATTATAGATTCCTTATATATGTCGCTTCCCCACTATTCGAATACTGTCAGTTAATTTTGCAAATCTAGGAACTGAATAACCACTTCACAATCATGCAAGAATTATCTGGTGTCAATGGCACACTTATGAACATTAATTCGCGAAGCTCATCATAACTCTGAATATCTGTTCGTTAGTTGCCTCACAAACGACAAGCTGGGCTTGACGTCTTAATAAATATCATTCAATTCTTTCCTTGGATAAGCATCTGAAGTTGGTTTGGTATGAAGATTTTTTGTTATAATTTGCCACGTGTATAAACTTCATATAGCCCATGAAATGTGTGAGACAGCCTAGTTTGCATTTACTGTATGACTGTTTGGACATGACACACACGCACTATCTCCACTGATAAACTTTATTGTTAGGATTACAAACTTCAAGGAAAAATGGAAATCGTAATAGAGAGGAGATGGAAGTGCTCAGTTAGAAATGATACAATACATGCTACCAGTAGTTCCATGTCCTGTCAGTATTGTGGGTAAGTCTGATAGAAATTTCTTTAGAAAATTATCATAATAACTAAAGTCGTTCACAATAATACGTAATAATTTGTTAATATTCAGATGTGAGGCGGAACACCAATCACTTGTATGCTCCAACGTCAAAGTAAATAGTCAGAGCATGTTAAGTAGAAGAAACAAATGCGAAAGATGGATACCAGGTCGACGATTGATTGTCCACACACTAGTTATATTTTTTGGAATATCCGCATGGATCGGTGTCAATGGAATCTTCGTCCAGTTGCCTCTATTAGTTAATTCAGCACCAGAAGGTTGGGGTCTGCCAGCGTACTTATCAGTTTTAGTTCAAGCCGCAAATATAGGGCCAATCCTGTACACGCTATCACGTAAATATCTACCAAATTTTCCTGAAACATTCTGGATTTGGATATTACTTTCTATGGACATAATAGCTATTGGTCTTCTGGCCTTTTTCCACGACAGAACATCTTTTTATGGTAGTACAGAGCACAGCACGGCCATGTTTATTCTTGTATTCTTCACGGCGTTAGTGAGCTGCACTAGTTCTGTACTATTTATGCCATATCTACGTGATTTCAAAGAAATTTATCTAGTATCTTATTTTATAGGCGAAGGTTTGAGTGGAGTTTTGCCAAGTATAGTAGCCTTGATTCAAGGTGTCGGTGGGAACCCCGAATGTATTACCGATGACGATGGCAAAATCATACCGTACGTGTCGCCACCGAGATTTCCACCAAAAGATTATTTTCTTTTTATATTCGTCATATTATTATTGTCGTTCAGTGCCTTCGGCTTGTTGCGGTATCTTCCTATAGTACAGAGCGAGAGGATAAATTCAAAATCGAAGATGTTCAGAGAAACAAGAAACTACGATGGTGACAATACTACTAGCACTATTACAAATGAATACAATTCTGAAATTGAAAATTATAACAGTGAATTAGAAACTACCAGTGCTACTGGTGCTTATGAAGTTTCTAATCCCCGTAGTCTTTCTGCAATATATAAGAGTTATCTATTTATTATAATGGGAGCTATATGTTTCTTAGGTCATGGCTTCTTGCCTGGTATACAATCCTATTCTTGTTTGCCATACGGAAACGTGGCATATCATCTGACAGCTACGTTAGCACATATGGCTAATCCGGCGGCTTGTTTCCTTGCGCTTTGGACTCCAGTCCCAAGTATGAGAGCTACTAGTTTCTTGTCAATAATGAGTTTCATGGCGTGCAGCTATGTCATTCTATTGGCTTTAAAGTCCCCTGCACCACCGATGCAAGGCTCTGAAATTGGTACTGCACTGGTAGTCATAACGTGGATCTTATTAGTGGGTCTTATTTCTTATATAAAATTGACTATTACAACGATATTTAGACGCGAGGCAGGAGCCAAATCACTTTTCTATACCGGTATAGTCATGCAAATAGGCTCGGCTTGTGGGGCAATCCTGTCTTTTTGTTTCATTAATTACACGAATCTGTTCACTGCTTATACGTCGTGCATTAGCGTTTGACTTTTAATTTATAATGTCAATTGCTCAATGTAAATTTAGGATAATGTAAAGAATGTGAATCGATTATTGTGAAATCAGGTTTTGTAATTAAATTATGGTTGCGACATAATTTTAACACAAAAATTAGGATGTGTTACTTTTCATAATGTGAAATTTTGCATTACCTCTGAATGATGGTTGCATTTTTTATTTTTAGCGTATATAATTGTGAATTAGAAAATTTTTTGCAAATTTTTTGATGATATTGTACTGTATCATGAATATTAATTATATTATATGCTAAGCAGTGCAACCCGTTAGGACATTAATAAATGGCAGATTGACATATGTATGTACGTGCGAATAAATCTAATTGAAGTGGTTTACTTGCGGCGCATATATTTATACAGAATTTATTTATTTAAAATTGACTCTGTACTATAAATATTGCATATTTTTTAAAACTGGATTAGGGTATGTTGTATCTAAAATAAGGAAATAAGATTATTCATGTATTGTGATTCCTAGATGTAGATCTCGCGAAACTATTCATAGTGTAATATACATACAGAAATTTATGAATTTAATATTGTTACCATTGTTATGAAACATTGTTAATAAAATTTATTATGGAACAACAGGAATAGGCTTCATATGTATTTGTTAACTGTAAACCTACTTAACCTACACATTTGAAGAATTTAATTTGGCCATATCGGATATTACGTTTCATTAAGATTATAATGTCGCGGTAGATTCTGATAATCAAAATATCTTCTACCTGAAGTAGTTCTATCTCCGTAGTTGATTAATATTAATATTATTATTCGTTTCGTGATGTACTGATAATTTGTAGGATTTAACTTTTTGATATACAGTAATTATGTACTGTATAATAAGCATGATCATAGGCTTTCCATTGCTGTTAGAATGTGTATTCTTTATCAAATACTTTGATAGAGAAATCATCAGACTACGTCTTCAAGACTTCATATTTAATAAGTATTTAACGTTATCAGGAAAAGTAGAGTGACTATTGAAAATCATTCAATATCATATCAATATATTGTGCCATGATAATGACACTTGAATCTTTAAGATATTTCTTATTTTATCTCAGTTCCTTGCAAATTGTAATCTCTAACTTGCATAATCTTTTTAGACTGTTCGCAAGTCACAGTCTAGTGAATAAACAGGACCGTACCAGCAGTCGTGCAAAACGGGTAGGCCGTCCTCAATCTTCGTTTTCCTTATTTGTCGTGAAATTAGAGCAGAAATGCTAACGTCGGTGACCGTTCCTACAATTATTATAATTTTGTATCTATTGCTTGATGTCTTAATAAATTTATAAAGTGTATAAATGCATAATTTGAGCAACGAAAAACTATCAATCTTAGCAAATCAAGTATCTAGATTAAAAAAAAACGAGTACTTATATCAGTAAATTGATAGCTCAAGCAGTCCGCCATAATTGAACTCTTGACGAGTTGAGTCATATTGTTAACTTGAATAAGTTAAATACTAAACAGCGCATGACTCAACGGACCCGAATAGGTACCGAAAAGAGCCGAGTTCCCCCGAAGCTTAACATCGACATACAGTGAGGCTACAGTGAGCAGTCCAGGTACTAAATATATGTCGATGGTATTAACTGGTTATAACAGACTGGTCGTGACGGGACGTCAACAAACGTCAAATTGGTAAATAACAGTATTGTGGCCTGGATCTTGTTTTTACTTTTGCTTTTACTTGACTGATAGAGAATACCTAAAAACGGTATCAGTCTTGATTGAATGAAACACTGCGTATCCTCTGCTGCTGTCTTCTTGCCGAAACTTGCTTTACAATGGATAAAGAGAAATCAAGCAGTCCAACACAGCATGATGATAATCAGAATGACAGTACCTCTCATATTTCTCTTCTGGATCTTCCTATTGAGGTCGGTATTGTATATTTATGTTTATTATAACTTCGTCTTATTGATATCATTATAAATAATGTAATGTATTAGGAAAAAGTAATCGATGAATTTTATATTGAATCATTTTGTAGTCTACCTTTTAGGGATGACTCATTGATCTCAGACTGAAAAAGAAAGGATTGTATTGCTGGTTTTTAATTGTTGAAATAGGTTTTTTTTCCTTTGTGGATGACAGCAGAGAGCTTTATATTATTATGATATAGTCTATTAGAAAATATCTGTAGGTAGACATATATTAGGATTGTATAAAGTTATTGAGCATGTGTTACTGCTTTTCAAAAAGATGTCAAATATTAATAATGATAAAATTGATAAGCGATTATAGATGATATATGACTGGTAGACATATTGTTTAATATATGATAAACCAATGTTTATCTCAAATAATATTTGATGACTGTTCAAGGTCGGCTATTCTTATACAAATTTGTATATTATTGCATTCATATTTCGTTTCAGATCCTTCTCCATATTTGTTCCTTTTTGGATGCCTCCACATTGGTACATGGCTTGGGGTTAGTCTGTAAACACTTTCATCAGATTTTACTCGATGATTCTTTATGGAAAGTGAGGATTAGCCAAATTTGGCCAAACACTGGTTTCCCAGTCTTGCCTCCTGGTTAGCTCAAATTGCTAGCACCTTGTGCCTTACACGACCAATAATTCTGTAAATAAATAAAACACCTATTAATGTACCCAATAATCAATTGTTGATTAACAAGTAAATTTAATCACACAGAGTTAACTTGTGTTTATGCTTATAATGTGTAGATTACATTGATACTAATTATATGCTATATATACTTCTACTTGGGTACCACACATTATATGGTCCATGTACAATATTTCGTAAAGCTTTTCAATTTTTGCAACAATTAATCCATTAATCGTTTGTTTATTTATTAAAATCTTTTTAATTGTCGCAATTTCTTAATATAAATAGCAAGTTGCATATGTCTTCCAGCTGAAGATGATGAATTATTTTGGAAATTATCCTGTGTTGCAATTGAAAGACAAACATTGCTCTGGAGAAATTCTGTAGAGCGTGATTCTATGGAAAATGTGTTTCTCGACAATGTACACTATGGTACAATAGATGGAGTATTACTTATGCGAGTATGTATCTAGGAATTTTTAGATTGAATTTGAATAAATATACTAGACATTGTTTTAATGTTATAGGATGGGACTGTTTGTATATCTGGAGCTAGGGACCGTTCCTTAGTATACTGGACATTGCCTACAGAAGAGAACAAATTTGTCAAATCCATGGCAGTAGAACTTGCACATGAGGGATGGATTTGGGATCTGACGGCAATTGATAATACAGTGTATAGCTGTAGCTGGGACAGGACTGTTAAAGCATGGGAACTTACCAACACTGGTCTCACTCACTTGACCACTTATGAGATGTACATGGCAACCAAGCTGGTCATTTTTCGCTGCTCTGAGAACGGATAGGCTGAGCGAGGAAGGCATAAATCGCTTCGTCTCTATCTCGGGTAGATAATTAAATAGTTGACGTATTTTTTTTTATAAATATGTCACGTTGATTAACTTTACTTAAATAATTTTTTCAATCGGTAAATAAGTCCTTGCTTGCTGTTACTCGCTCGGCCGACAATGATCGCACAAATAGTTCGAATTACTTAAAAGCCATCGATTTTTTTAATGAATGCATAACATTTTCGTAGGATCGTTTCTGGAGCTTTATTGTGCGTTACCTCCTGTTCAGACTTACCTATCTTTGCGACAGGATCTTTTTCCAAGACCGTCTTAGTGTTTGATCCGCGAAAGGGTTACAGTCCTATCGCGAGGTATCAACCACATAACAGAGCTGTGATTAGGCTTTCTATGAATTCAGATTATATCTTGTCTGCTAGCGAAGACAAATCAGTTTCTATTTGGGACCAGAGAGCTGGTAGAATTATGAAGACTGTTATGGTATTTAATTATAAACTATAGCCTGTCTTCTTAATGAACTATGTAAGCATCTTATTTCTAAATTTCAGATCTCAAAAGAATCATTCCCGATGAGTGTTTCAATGAATAAGGGAATTGTCTATGTTGGGGACAGTGGTGCTAAGCTACATGTTTTAAACCCAAAGAAAGACTTTGAGCTAAAAAAGTGTTATACAACTAAACATGAAAAAGCTATAACCGGACTTCATGTTGCTCCTGGTTGTCTGATAACTGGCTCCTTAGATAAAACTGTAATAATTTGGAGTCCTACTGACCCTCCACAGCATGTGGAAACTCTTACTTCACCTTATGGTGAAGTACCTAGTGTAAGTGAGTTCTGAATTTGATCCAATTACATTCATTTCTTGTATGACTTATTAGAAAATATTGTTTATTTTATTAGATCGACTATATGAACGAAGTTCTCGCGGTCTCGGGTACGGATGGAATAAAAATCTGGAGACCGAGGACCGATACTTATGCTTTGTAACAGCCACGTAGTAAATATTTCCTACAAGCAGCTCTCTGTGTTCTAACAAATGTTAGGTTAGTTTAGTATAATTCCAGACATGAAAGTCCAAACAATGAAATATTGATACCGTTATCTAATAAAGGCTTTGCTAACAATTGTGTAGCAGTGATTATTGAATTGAATACTTTCAATATTGAACAAGTTCTTAATTTTCGTTGACCTAGTGCAAAACCTATGCACAGAGCATAAGAACAGTATAATTTTTAATAATGATATAACAGTACGAATATATGATATACAGTATGATATTTGTTAATAATCTTAAAGTCATCATTGGTAAAATAAAATAAAATTGTATACAATGGCGCAAGCATCACCTATCTCCAGTTTAATGCAGAATACAAATTCTACCGCTGGGTCGATCGAAGGCGCTAGTCTCGCCGGAAACGGTCGTCTGCTTGAATGTCGACCAATTCAACTGTCTATTAAAAGAAAAGGCGCGAAGCGCCGTTATCTTCACAAAAGGGCTTGATAAGAGTTAAAAACTATCTACTGAAATAAATAGAAACCTTTAGAAAGTTTCTTTCTCTAAGAGGAAACATTTCTTTCATCGAAATATTGAAATTGGCATGATCTCTTGGCGACGTAGTGGGGGTAATATCGAGGGGAGCTGCGAGGAGCTTCCGTTCATCTGCGAAGTCAGAGAAGGCTGGCTGCGTTCGGTGGTGCTGTTGAAAAACACGATGAAAATGGCGTGGCAACCGCAAGAAGAAGGACTCAGGCAAATTTTGTCGCTCCTCAGGGAATCGCAGAGCCCGGACACGGCAACTCAGCGCGCTGTACAAGAAGTATCCTTTTATATTTGTAATGAAATAAGATTTTTATGCAGTGAGTAGAACGCGAACGAGCGGCAGGTCGATGCGCGGCCAAGGGCGTGCTTTTATTGACAAATTTTTTATTGGGGGAAACAGACTGCCGGTTGACTCGAGGGATTTTTCGAAAATACTTCATATCTTTTTTTAAATAATTCGGGTACGTGGATAGCCTATTTCACTGCTAACTAATTTCTGGGCTTATATAAAGAATTAGGCGCTTCTTTTTGTGCCGACGTTCCCGGCTTCGGGACATAAAATTTCGCGTTGCGTCTTTTGGCAAAGATACTCGCGGGCTCTTAACATTATGAGATGTCGAAATGCTAACTGCGAATGGCGTGGTATTCACAGACACGTGCTTCGTTTTTCGTTGAATTTATTCGCGAACTTCCCTAGGGCACGATTTAATGTACTAAATAGTGTTGCAACTGCCAAGCAACATTGAATAAATTCTGCATTCTGTAATCAATAATGATGTTTCAGTTTGCTGGCCAAACTTTGTATTTTTGTTTTACCAATTTGTATCATTGTAATATTCTTCTCAGGAAGGATGTTTGCGTTGGGATTTCTATCTTACTAATGACATATTCCAAAGTACAGATAGTATTCTATATTTGTATAATTTATGATAATGTAAAATGCATTTCTTACAAAAGTAAGCTACAGGGAATGTATTGGTCTTTATTCTAATAACTAATTGCTATCTTGCTGAAACTGATTATCTAGAGTAATTATATATTTTCAACAGATAATGTGTTATATAAAATTGTGATATAATACAAGTATATAGCTATTGTATTTACAATCTTATGAACATGTTGGATGACAGATCTAAATTATGGTTAACTATCAAAAGAAGCTACTTGTTTATTATGACATTCATTTTCCCTCACACTACTTGTATTATTTAGTTTTACATATTAACTGATATTTCCTTAATAGTTAATTACATAGAAATTGGAGGAGTTAAATAAATTTCCAGACTTCAACAACTACCTTATATTTGTCTTAACCAAGCTGACATCAGAAGGTATAATTAAATCATTCTTTTATGCATGAACAAAGGTCACGATCATTGTAGATGGCACAACCAAACATATTGCATTAACTTTACATTTCTTTTATAATCTCGAGATTTGAATATTGAAAGAATTATTCAAAAGCATCAGAAACCTTTAATTGACTCAATATATAAACATTCTTTAGATACATCTGTCTTCTTAATGTACAAACGTATATTATCGTAACGTCTCGAAATAAGTCTTAAAGAATATTAAAATGGGATAAGATAAATCATTTTAAATGTTTTCATTATCTACAATGACAAGTAATACTGTTTTTTTTTGTTTTTTGAATTTATTTCTCCTTGGATTCATAATATAAAGCAGGTATGGCATTGCATAATTGTAATGCAACAGTCTTCAGATATTGTGTGTTAATTTAATATTTAATCATATTAAGCATTTAGTTTGCAAGATATTAATACATTTTTATATTATACATTAAATTATCTTGTACATATTTAGAAACTATGAACTCGATCTATATTCAATTTTTTATTCTAAGATGAACCTACGAGGTCTCTCAGTGGTCTCATACTGAAGAATAATGTAAAGGCTCACTTCCACAAATTCATGCCCGAAGTCACAAACTTCATAAAGCAAGAATGTTTATCTGCTGTGGGCGACCCTTCTCCATTAATTCGTGCAACCGTCGGTATATTGATAACCACTGTTGCATCCAAAGGTACAGTTGCAGTTTTTCAACTTAAAAATGATGAAAAGCAACTTTTCACTTAGTCAAAAATATTCTGTTGGTGGCAGGTGAACTGACAAAATGGCCGGAACTTCTACCAGCTCTTTGTCAGATGCTGGATTCGCAAGACTATAATGTCTGCGAGGGAGCTTTTGGCGCTCTACAAAAAATCTGTGAAGACTCTGCCGAGTTATTGGACTCTGACGCACTAAATCGTCCTTTGAATGTCCTCATTCCTAAATTCCTACAATTTTTTCGACACACAAGTCCAAAAATTAGATCACATGCGATAGCGTGCGTTAATCAATTTATTATTAATCGCACGCAAGCACTCATGATACATATTGACAGTTTCCTAGAAAACCTCTTCCATTTAGCAAATGATGACGATCCGGATGTCAGGAAAAATGTGTGCAGGTAATATGTTATCTTCATTTCAATGTTACCCAACTTAAATAAGTTGATAATCAGAGAGGTCACTTCATTCATTTTCGAAAATTTATCTTATCTAGGGCTTTGGTAATGCTCCTTGAAGTGCGAATGGACAGGTTAATACCACATATGCATAACATAATTGAGTATATGCTGATGCGGACTCAAGATCCTGATGAAGGTGTTGCACTAGAAGCCTGTGAATTTTGGTTGTCCCTAGCTGATCAGCCTATTTGCAGAGAAGCTCTTATACGGCATTTGACCCGGCTAGTTCCAATTTTGGTGAGTCACATCGGTAGACCCGATGATTAATTCTAGATTGATTATATCTCGTATTTGTTTTTTTCCTGTTCGATGATAGAGATTGTTTATCATGATGAGTAAGATTACTCGTAACGTTATTAATCGAAGTGTGTTATTAACTTTACACAGCAAAATGATTTTAAAACAAATTGAAAATTTGTGATTATCATACACAATTTTGCTATTTAGGTAAGGGGTATGAAGTACTCAGAAATAGATATAATATTACTGAAAGGCGACGTGGAAGAGGATGAAATGATCCCGGACAGAGAGGAAGATATCAGACCAAGATTTCATAAAGCAAGAACGCACCACTCCCATCACGCAATCATGAACAAACATACGGATGAAAACGGTGGATGTGGAGACGACGAGGATTCAGATCCAGAAGATGGCGGAGATGACGATTCGACGCTTACTGACTGGAATTTGAGAAAATGTTCTGCCGCAGCTTTAGACGTATTAGCCAGTGTCTTCAGGGATGAACTTTTACCAGTGTTAGTGCCAATCTTAAAAGAAACACTGTTCCACCAGGAATGGGAGATCAAGGAATCTGGTATCCTTGCACTGGGAGCTATCGCCGAAGGTAAGTTCAATATTCTGATATTCTGGCTGTAATTTGACATTATATCTTCATGGTATCACAATAATATTGCTTTAGGTTGCATGTCCGGCATGGTACCACACTTGTCAGAGCTCATTCCATATTTAATTGGTTGTTTGAGTGATAAGAAGGCTTTGGTACGTGCCATAACATGCTGGACATTAAGTCGTTATGCCCATTGGGTATGCCAGCAACCACATGACACTTACCTTAAACCTTTAATGACGGAATTGCTCAAAAGAGTTCTCGATGGCAATAAACGCGTGCAGGAAGCTGCGTGTTCCGCGTTTGCCACTCTGGAGGAGGAAGCATCTACGGAATTGGTTCCATACCTGGGATTCATTCTGGAGACTCTTGTTTTCGCATTTGGTAAATACTCTTTTATATGCATAATACAATCCAATCCTTAGATGATGTGAAAACAATTCTTCAAATAATACTTATTCACATATCAATAGGCAAATATCAACACAAGAATTTATTGATACTGTACGACGCCATCGGTACTCTTGCTGATTCCGTCGGTCATCATTTGAACAAACCAGATTACATTAACCTTCTAATGCCACCTCTTATCAACAAGTGGAACGTTCTCAAGGACGAAGACAAAGATCTCTTTCCACTGCTGGAATGTCTCTCATCCGTCGCAACAGCATTACAATCTGGCTTTTTGCCATATTGCGAGCCCGTTTACAAGTACGACCTTATGAATTTAATGATATTTTTTTATTTGGTTGCTCAATTCAGTTCGAGGACATTATGAGATTATATAACAATTTATATTCATTGTTATAGACGCTGTGTCTCTCTTGTGGAACAAACATTGAATCAACACATAGCAAACACACAGAGTCCGGAACAATTCGAAGCTCCCGACAAGGACTTTATGATAGTTGCGCTAGATCTTCTCAGTGGCTTGGCTGAGGGATTAGATGGTCATATGGAACGATTAGTAATGAACAGTAATGTTATGCAATTATTGTATCAGTGCATGCAAGATCCAATGCCGGAGGTCAGACAGAGCAGTTTTGCTTTACTTGGAGATCTAACAAAAGCTTGCTTCCAACACGTACTACCGTGTATACGTAAGTTCCTCTAAATTATAAAGCCGGTCTTTTATTTGTGTTCGGTATTAACATTGTTGAAATTATCACTTTATTTCAGCGGACTTTATGCCGATTCTTGGTCAGAATTTAAATCCAGAGTTCATATCAGTATGCAACAATGCGACGTGGGCCATAGGGGAAATATCGATAAAACTTGGTGAGTTTCGGTTTCTAATAAGGTTAAACGTATTTTGATTTTGTTAAATACATGCTTTTTTTTTTGTTTTCTTATGTTGTAGGACCCGATACGAGTGCATACATTCCATTAATTTTGTCACAACTTATCGATATAATCAACCGACCAAACACACCAAAAACTCTACTAGAAAATACAGGTAAGTTATCACATAAAGCCAAAAAGTGCTTTCTATCTTCCTTCATGTTTTCTTTTAGTCTCACCCATAATACAGTGGAGCAGACTTCGCTATTTCAGTGGATTATGTTATTAACCATGTTTTGACTAAAATTGTTTGTGTGGGGTTATATTGTTGAGGAATGCTAATTGGGCTGCGCTTGAGAAGTGTGCTCCCTGTGTCTATGCATTGGGATGTTTTTCATGCGAAAAGTTAATTCTGAATATAAATTTTTTTTTAAATAAAAAATTCATATATTCAGATGGCCAGAGCAATGAAGAAATTCCGAATGCAATTAATACTAAACAACTCACGATAGGCTTAGCAAATACCTTAGGTGGCATTCGGTTTTAGGTTCATCTGTTCTTTTTGTCAATTATTTTTGGCTGAAAGTGATGACCCATGCAGATGGACGACTCGGAGTGGTTTTAGATAACCATACGTTTGCACGTTTAACAATCGATCAATTTATTACTTGTATTTATATATTATACCTGATTTTAGTGGTGTGCGATAGCCTGAAGATCAGAGAAGGCCCTAATCAGTACAAGTGCAACTGTAATTCTGCATGTCGTATGTGTTGTATTTAAGTTTCAGAGATTCGTTCTAGATAGAGCACTTAAGAAAGTCGAGGGATTATGGATATGGGTTCGTAATCCTGAATCAGGATTTCGCACGCTGCTACCTAATTTTTTGACTATTGTTTCAGCAGCTACGATAGCACGGTATTGCCTATTTTGACTATCGATATTCCATATGTTATCACCACCTGTGTTCATATTGTCTCTCTATTGTTAATATTGATTAATTATTATTACTTGTTAATTGCCAATTACTTGAAGTTATAAGCAGCAGAATATTCGCCTGAGTTGATCGTTGGTTCGCTATCAGTTTGTCTTATTGTTTGTGTTTCCGGTCACTTCACTACACTTCACTTGACTACTTACCGAAAATGAAACGAAACCGTAGCCATAACGATCGGTCGCCTAGGTTATGTGTGTCCCCACGACGTCGCCCCCATGTTACAGCAGTTTGTCCGACAGTGGTGTGTAAATTTTTTTATTATTATATTCTATTAATTACCTTCTATTTTTATTAGCACTTTATTATTACGAATTATTCCTAACTCCTGAGTACGTTATATCAGGGTCTCCGAAAACTCAGAATGCATGGAGATTGCAATTTTCTATTCGATAACAGTCAGACAAGAAATTTTTCAATTTACATTGACTCTGCGAACAGTTGCTTTTAATTTTTTTTTATACATGTATAGTTCTACGATGCCAATGTTTTTTGCATCAAGTACATCTAATATTGATCACAAGTTAGTTATATTAACATTTATGTTGCAATTGACTTGTGCTCTGATTTTTTGAGGCATCTTGCATATATTATATATTTATACATTTGTTTTATTTATTATAACATGCAATTGCGACATCCGTCACCTTTACATTATCAATATTCTCAGTTAGTTCTGAATTTCAAAAATTTAAGTTTGCATTCGATACGCATAGTCATGATGTAAGTCTCTTTATATTACTTGCAGGTCTTTAAATGTTTATCAACCTGACAATCATTTTAATATCTCATTCATCCATACGAACATTCCACTAATTTATCATCTTACAAGATATCCGAGATTACTTTCATCAACATCAAGGGAGACGTAGTTATTTACTCCTGAGAAACAATAGAAATCCTCGTGTCTAGCATAGTGAGACTCGTGTTGTACGTGCATTGGAAAGAAGGTGCATTAAATTAGTTAGGATAATTAGTATCGACAGTTTATTAATTTAATTAGGAGTAACAGGATGAAGACGTTTTAATTGCTAGTAAAGAAAGTGTCCTGATTATATCCTCAGCTCCCTTCAAAGAAGTAATAAGAATTATGAATTATCCTGCTACATTAAAACTGGATGCATAGTCCGGATTTTAATAGTACAATAAATATTTCTGCTTCATCCTCACCAAATGCAACTCATTGAGAATTGTTTCGTGTGAATGAAGCTTAAAGCGCATAGACTACTCTTGTAATATATGTCGCAGCTATTATAAATTGACCCATTAACAATCCATCATAAAGGAGGTAGCTTGATTGTATGAGAAGGAAGATGAAAAAACTAACGTTTTTAATATGGCATTAATCAATGGTCGCCTTATAAAAAAAAAAAGTACCTTTCTTTGTATAACCACCATTATCTTCACTGTCGAACTTCCATATATTTTGCATTGTGGATACCGTCATCTCTGTGAGTCTTGATGAAATCCAAAACTATGCATAAAATCGATACCCAAACAAAGATATCAGAATGATGCATGAAATCTATTTATGTTATCTGAGTTCTGTAACAATTTTACAAACTTCGACTATGTTCCTACATATATTATTCAGTTCAGTTACCTCCTTTCTGATGCAGAACGTTCGACCATATTGGATTATACGACAGAGCCCAACTTTAATTATCCTTTACCAATAGGTGTACCTCCTTGAGGAACATCCGTGACAACGAGGAGAAAGATTCGGCGTTCAGAGGTATGTGCCAGATGATAACGGTCAATCCTGCAGGAGTCGTCCCAGACTTTATATTCTTCTGCGATGCCGTCGCATCCTGGGTAACGCCTCGCGAAGATCTCAAAGACATGATCCTTAAGGTACGTTATCCTTTGTTTATACAATTTGTATAGTACCATATGTTAGGTATATCATACATGACTGAATATTTGTATATACGTACTGCCGCAGATTTTACACGGCTTCAAGAATCAGGTCGGTGCGGAAAACTGGAGGAGATTTTCCGATCAATTTCCACCGCAGCTCAGTGAACGGCTTCATGGCATGTATGGCGTCTGAGCAGCCCCGCCTACTTATGGTAAGTTTACAATGTAATATCAGTAAAATCGCGAATTCATACTAATACGCAATAAAGTAAGACATATCTCAACCTCGAATATTTTTTAACTGCAACGTTTTAAGTTCCAAACGTTACGTTCCAGACGGCCGCTTTAGGGGGCTGGCCGAACGGGGTTGGGCGGGGAAGAATAATAATGGGTGGACAGGGTGGGTGGGTGAAACCACGGCCTCTTCTCATCAACATCATCGTCGTCGGCATCGTCGTCCTAATCGTGTCATGGTGATCGTCGGGTCATCGGCGAGCCTTCGGGTATACTAATGTTAACGGAGTTAACGTCGCTCGCTGCAACGACTAGGTTACACGACCGAGATCAGTGAGAGACAGTGCGGGAGAAAGACAAAGAAACGGGTTAAGGAACAAAGAAGAAAGCAAATGGTGAGGTGAAAGTATTGGAAAAGAAGAAAAATAAAACGAAAATGAAGAGGATACCGAAGATGAAAGACAGAAAGTGGCC